CCTCCAGGATAACGTCCACAGAACAGACGTCTTTGCCTCAGTGTGTACACTCATTAGGGTTAGATTCCTCCTAGATCTTTTTTATTTCTACTTATTTCTTTCTTTCTTTTTTTTTTTAAAGATTTATTTATTTATTTGACAGAAATCACAAGGAAGCAGAGAGGCAGGCAGAGAGGCAGGCAGAGAAAGAGGAGGAAGCAGGCTCCTTGGCGAGCAGAGAGCCCGATGCGGGGCTAGATCCCAGGACCCTGGGATCATGACCTGAGCCGAAGGCAGAGGCTTTAACCCACTGAGCCACCCAGGCGCCCCTCTACTTATTTCTATTCCTAATTTTCTGAGCCTTATGGTCATGAATGAGTATTGAAGTTTGTCAGATACTCTTTCTGAATCTGTTAAGATAACATGATTTTCTTCTTCTGCCAATACGGCATATTATATGTATTGAGTTTGATTATTAATTCAGCTGTGCATTACTTCTATAAACCCCACTCTGTTGTGATGTAGTATCTTTTTTAAAATTGTGCTGTAGTCGTCTCAGTAATAGTTTATTGTAGTCATTTGGTATCTGTATTCATGAAGGATATTGGTCTATAGTTTTCTATGATGTCTGTCTGGTCTTTCTCATACATGTTAAGTGTCTTGTACACTTGACTTTTTTGTCTGAATGTCTCTATGTCTGTGAGTTTAGACAGGCGTACATTCAAAGCTAACGGTTTTTCTCTGTCAGCATTTTGAAGATGATCTTCCATTGTCTCCTGGACTCCATCGTTTCTGTTGTGAAGTTTTGTTCTGTTTTGTTAAAGATTTTATCTTTAATCTCTGCATCCAGGGTGGGGCTCAGACTCACAACCCTGAGATCAAGAGTTACGTGCTTTACCAACTGAGCCAGCCAGGTGCCCTAAGAGGTTTTTTTTTTTTTAATTTTAATTTTAATTTTTTTTATTTTTATTTTTTTAAGATTTTTTATTTATTTATTTGACAGAGATCACAAGTAGGCAGAGAGGCAGGCAGAGAGAGAGGTGGAGGCAGGCTCCCTGCTGAGCAGAGAGCCCGATGTGGGGCTCGATCCCAGGACCCTGGGATCATGACCTTAGCCGAAGGCAGAGGCTTAACCCACTGAGCCACCCAGGCGCCCCAAGAGGTTTGTTTTTAATACTTGTTTGTATCTGGTCATTTGCCTTTCGTCTGACATGGTACAGTCGTCTCCTGGTCTTTGAGGCATTGCTGTGTCACCACACAGTGTGTTCAGTGTATTTCTTTCCTTTAATCTTTGTCAGGGCTTGTGCTCCTGAGGACACAGGCCTTTCATCAGTTCTGGGCAACTAATAGTCCTTGTCTCTGAACATGTTGCCTCCTGTTTATCCCCTTTCCTTCTGGCGTCCCAATTAGATATAGGTCAGACCTTTATATCTGTCCTCCAGGACTCTGCTCTTTCTTATTTTTTATCTTTTCCTCTGTCTTTCTTACACAGGTCTATCATCTCGTTCAATAATTTTCTTTGAGCTCTGCTACTTAATCACCACTAAGGTTATAAATTCTTTTGATTCTTTTTCATTTCTTTTTTTTTTAAGATTTTATTTATTTATTTGACAGATCACAAGCAGGCAGAGAGGCAGTCAGAGAGAGAGGAGGAAGCAGGCTCCCCGCTGAGCAGAGAGCCCGATGCGGGACTTGATCCCAGGACCCTGAGATCATGACCTGAGCCGAAGGCAGAAGCTTTAACCCACTGAGCCACCCAGGTGCCCCTATTACTGCTTTTTTTAGTTGATTCTTCTTCATGGGGCCTTTTTTCCTGTGATGGTTTCTAATTAGGAGCTCTGTGGCTGGTCCCAATATTTGTGAATGCTGAGGGACAGGGGTCAGGACTGTGTCCCACAGGTGGGGTTTGTACTTACTCTGCCAGGCCCCTTGGACTGCTGCTCACATCCAAGCACTTCAGATTGACTGCCTGTGGAAAGGAAAAATACATTCAAACTCGGATGCTAAACAGGGCAGGCTTGGGATGACAGATTGAGGAACATTCTTCTTTTTTATTTATTGCAGTCAATGTCTGAGAGAAGACAGAGTTCCTTGTCAGCTTTATCTGCCAGCAAATTGATTTTTCACTGTTTACACTTTGACTGAGGGTTAGAGTTTCAGGGGTTCTTCCTGGGCTTTTGCAGGGGATATCAGTTCCAGCTCCCCACTTGTCTGGCCTGAAGCCTCATCCTCATTAGCCCCGCTCAGTTCAGGACACCAAAGCTCTGGGTGTTGGCTAGGTAGTCCTGGGGTAGCCCATAGCTTCAGGGTTTGACGGTATTTTGACAATATTCTTTTTGGGTTTGGACCTCTAGAATTACTTTCTAGAGGTCAGCTATGCAGTTAAAAGGGTGTTTTATGGGGGGTCCTGGGTGGCTCACTTGGTTAAGTGTCCAGCTCTTGGTTTTAGCTCAGGTCATGATCTTGGGATTCTGGGATGGAGTCCCATGGGCTCTGTGCTCAGTGCAGCGTCTGCTTGGGATTCTCTCTCTCCCTCTCCCCCTTCCTGCTGTATGCACACACATACATTCTCCCTCAAATAAATAAATAAAATGTCTTTTTTTAAAAAAGGTTATTTTATGTATCTTACTCAGCACTTTGAGGTGTTTGGAGGGGAATGTTTTCCAGAATAGCTAGACTTATACTGTAGGCAGTTGAAGCCTCATGTTTTTGCTTCTATAAGCTAAGTATTGATAATCTGATTCTTGGGATGTTTTGGTTCTTAAGTCAAGAACCATAACGTTTATTAATTATTATATTAAATAACATTAACTCAAAATGTTAACATATTAAAAAGCATGTGTACAGGCACCACACACAGATTTTCAGGCTTTTGGCCCATGTGAGTGGTGGTTTTTATTTTGAAGCCTTTCATTGAGAAAACGTACACAGCCGTTTGGGTTTTGTCTCACGACGTGGCTGGATGTCCGGTAAGGGATTTTAATTCCTGTTGTGGCGGCAGTTCCTGTAAGTACACATTCCCAGGATGCTGTTCTCCAGCCGCGGGCCACCCTGCCAGGGCTACCTGTGTGTGAAGCGGGTTCTGTCCCGGTCGTCCCTCCGAGTGGCACCAGTGGGTCCCGCTCAAGGACCCGCCACTCGTGTTGGCCGCAGTGCGGGTGATGATGTCCTTCCTTCCCCTTCCTGTGCTCGCGCCTCCCAGCCGTCCCTCTGCGGGGCAGCCGGGCAGGGCCGGGATCCCCTTGAGTCCTCCAGCCGTGTGTCCTTAGGCAAACGGGGCGACCCCAGCCCGCCCCGCGCCGCTGCATGAGGAGTCGGGGACATGCCACATGGGAGGGCGGACCGGCGGGGCTGGCGCCCGGAACGTTCCGGGAAGGGGGTGGCTGTGCCGTTCTCCTGCTGTCCTCGCGCCGACCAGGTCCTGACAGTCTCTTTCCTCATCAGCCTTTGTGCTCGCTCATTTGCCGCTTCTCCAGATGAGGCCCGTGGTGCCTCGGCCTGAGCCGCCACAGGAGGTTCCCGCCGGGCTTCGCACCTGCACGCTCTGCTCGTCCTCCTCGTGCTGTGCCGTGCCAGGTCGGGCTTACCAGAAACCTGTGGGATGGACACATGGCAGAGGCAGGAATCTTCCAGGGCTCCCCTTTGCCTTCCTCTAGCTTAAGACCCAAGTCCCTTACCTCCATCAGGCTCTCACTAGGCATCTTTATAGCCCAGGAGAGCGCCCTGAGAGCTGCGGGGCTGGACGGAAGTGCGTGCGGTCATCGCCGTCATCGCCGCCCCCGAGGGCTGTACGCGCTCACCGCCACCAGCGCCGCGGGCCTGCAACCTACTTTACTTTCTGTCACCGCAGCAGCTGACTCAGTCTCCTGAGTGTGGAGGGCGTGCTTCTGCCCTTGACAGACCGCTTACCGTCTAAGTTACTGCAACAGAATGTGGCGATCACGGTAGCTCAGTGCAGATCTCACCGTCCGTCTCAGCAAGGCCAAGTGGTGGTGTGATTTTTCTGAATGAACGGTTTTACTCAATGGTCTGGAAGCCTGAGTTTCTGTGTGCCATGCTTATGCGTGTGCTTTTTCTCTTCTCTTCTCTTATTTTTTTTTTTTTTTTTAAGATTTTATTTATTAGAGAGAGCATGGGCAGGGGGCAGGGAGAGGGAGAAACAAGCCCCTTGCTGAGCAGGGAGCCTGACGCGGAGCTGATCGAAAGACTCTGAGACCATGACCCGAGCCAAAGGCAGACACTTGGCTGACTAAGCCCCCCAGGCATCCCAGTACATGTGCTTTTTATTTTTTAATAGGCCAGTGGGGCGCCTGGGTGGCCCAGTGGGTTAAGCCTCTGCCTTCGGCTCAGGTCATGATCTCAGGGTCCTGGGATCGAGCCCCCACATCAGGCTCTCTGCTTAGCAGGGAGCCTGCTTCCTCCTCTCTCTCTGCTGCCTCCCTGCCTACTTGTGATCTCTGTCTGTCAAATAAATAAATAAAATCTTTAAAAAATAATAATAATCTTTATTTTTTAATAGGCCAATGTATGACGCTTGGGTTAGTGTTTTTTGATTACTGATCTAAGAACAAACCCATTTACAAAGTGCTTTCAGATGCATCGTCTCCTTGTCCTTGTGGCAAGCGTGTGTGGCACACAGACCGCGGACTACAGTGTTGGAGTGGCATGTCCGAGTTGAGAAAGAAGAAAGAGAGTTGGGGTCTGGGAGAGCTTTTCTTACTCCAGACTCCCGTTCTGGGCAAGCTCTCCAAGCATCTTAGCATGCTCTCCTTGATCGCTCAGAATATTCTCACTTGTTTGATGAGCATTTCCTTTATTAGAAATGGTTTTTTATTTCGTCATTTCAAGATGAGAGACCTAGAAAGAAAAAAGAGGGTCTAACAGATGTAATTATTTTCCTGGATTGCATGCGTTTTCAGTCAGGGCTTTGCAGGGGCCGCAGCCTGATGCCGGGCTTCTGCCTCCAGGGGTAATGTTTCCACTCTGGAAGCTGGCCTTGTCTTGAATGTTTGCTCTTTTAGGGGAAAACGGAACCCATCACGGTGGTGAAGCTGCTGAGCTGCTTCGATGACCTCGTGGCTGCGGGCACCGCCTCTGGGAGGGTCGCTGTCTTTCAGCTTGTGTCCTCGCTGCCAGGGAGAAACAAACAAGTAAGTGGTAGTCTCCCCGGCATTTCTTACCTTCTTGGCACATTCCTTGCGGATTTTCACAGGAGAAAGCCTCCCCCGCTTGGAAGATACGTGCTCAGAAAAGCTTCACCCTGTGCTCTTAATACTCAATAACATTTTGGTTCTCGGGAGGACACTTGGCAGAAAGCACGTTTGGGTAATTTAGATTGTGCCTAACGTTCTCTGGCTGCCCTCTGTCTGCTTTCAAGGTAACTAACCAGAGGAGACCTTGTGCAGGGTTTTGCCTGGAAAACCAGGTTGGGGAGACCAGCTCCTCAGGAGTAGGAGGGACTCTGTACCCCTGTGCCCACAGAGCGTGTCTCACAGTGCGCATCCCTTTCTCTCCCTGTGCGCGTGTCTGTCATTCGTTCCCAGCTTCGGAGATTTGATGTCACCGGTATTCACAGAAACAGCATAACCGCGCTGGCTTGGAGCCCCAATGGAATGAAATTGTTCTCCGGTGATGACAAAGGGAAAATTGTCTATTCTTCTCTGGATCTAGACCAGGTAAGATGATTTCCAGAAATATTTTTGGCCTTCTTCTATTTGGAACAATTATATCCATAATCATCTTGTAGCCGGTCCGTTTGTATTCCCAATCATTTGTCCCTTTATAATCTCATTATTGTTTGTAACAGTTTCCCTCAAGGACTTCTCTAACATTTTCTAAGCTTATTCTGCTGTGACTAAAGGGTTGGCCTTTGTTTGCACTGGCCCCTTCCCTCACGTTGTCCATTCTCCTGTTGTCTCCTGCTGCTCCTTCGAACAGAAGCCACCGTCACTCTTCTCTCCTTGAAGGGTTTGTAGGAGCCATGCGAAGCCTTTCATAATCATAACTATGGACAGAGGTCAGTGCTTTCAGGGGGCGGAGAGCTGGCCCCAGCCAAGCCTGCCTCTCGTGTGGGAGGGAGTGGGCCAAGGACGAGGAGGCTTGGTGGCAGTCCAATGCCCAGTCGCCACCCTCATGTTTGTTGCTTTGTTTAATCCTCACAACACTGCCCTGAGCTGCGTGTGCTCTTCCCCCATCAGTAGATGAAGAACCCAAGGTTTGGTGACCCCGTCACTAGCCCGGGGTCACAGGCCAACACCTGATGGAGCTCAGCTTCAAACAGGTTCTGCTCCGAAGCCCGCATCTTTTCCATCACTTGTGCCTCTGTGCAGGCCTGTGCTTCGCTGGGTCACGTGTCTGCCCAGCTGCACTGAACATCTTGGTATGAGCCTTTCCTTTCCTGACGTGTAGCCTTCATTCCTCATGCGTAGTGGGAATTCAGCAATTACTAGCCAAGTAGCTTTTTTTTTTTTTTTTTAAGATTTTATTTATTTATTTGACAGAGAGAGACAACAAGAGAGGGAACACAAGCAGGCGGAGTGGGAGAGGGAGAAGCAGGCTTCCTGCTGAGCAGGGAGCCCGACACAGGGCTCGATCCCAGGACCCTGGGATCACGACCTGAGCCCAAGGCAAACGCTTAACAACTAAGCCACCCAGGCGCCCCTAGCTGAGTAGCTTTTAGTCCCTCCGATCCACAACTATCCTATTACAAGTTCTGTCTAGCGGAAGTTCTCAAAGTGTTTGGTCTCAGGACGCGCCTACACTCTTTTTTTTTTTTTTTAAGATTTTATTTATTTATTTGATAGAGAGAGATCACAAGTAGGCAGAGAGGCAGGCAGAGAGAGAGAGGAAGGGAAGCAGGCCTCCCAATGAGCAGAGAGGCCGATGAGGGGCTCGATCCCAGGGCCCTGAGATCATGACCTGAGCCGAAGGCAGAGGCTTTAACCCACTGAGCCACCCAGGCACCCCTATTAATTTTATTTTGAAAAAATAAACCTATCACTAGAAATAACTTTTATGAAAATAACTATTTCAAAACAAGTGAAAAGAAAGACAGTACTTTACATTTTTGCAAATCTCTTTAACGGCTGCTGGCTTGTTGGAGGACAGCTGCATTTGCAAATACATTGTTTTGGTTGGAGTATATAAAGAAAATCTGGCCTCTCACAGACCTATAGTTGGAAACAGGACAGTATTGTACTAGCCTTTTTAGAGAATTGTGGGTATTCTTCGTGAATCTTATCCCCAACTGACGGATGGTGGTTTCTCTAAAGGTTAGTTGTAACTGGGAAGCTGAAACCGTGTGGATGGATTTTTTGTCCTCCTACAGTGAAATCCAGCGGCCCGCCTGGCACTTTGAGTGGCTCTTTGATCCCCGCGTGATTTTGTAATATCATGTGTTGGTCGCTTGGAAAATATTGATCTTACTGAGTGATGCAGATCTTTTCAAATGTTGACACATTTAATTATATAATATCAAAGAACGTGTTTTTGTCAATAATACCGTCATTCTGATCAGAAAAGGCTGTAGCTACTGAGAACTGCCCAAGTTCACAAGGGTCAATACAAGCTTTCAATTCTAAGCCTCATTTGAGAACTTGAAATTTATTATCAGCAACAAACACAATTGTTTTCACTGAAGTGACAAGGCCACTTTGTTCCATCTGAGAAAATGTCTGCCAAATACCCATGTTTGAGTAATTATAGTATATCAAGAAAAATGGCATTCTGGGGTGGGGTTGGGGGGGAAGGCAGCTAGCTGGTTGCGCTCCCAGCTCTAACAGTCAAGTGCTTTTCCTTGAGAACCAGAGTACCGCAGTGTGCGGCAGCAGGACAGTACCTGCCCCATTTTATCACACAAAATTCAAAACTGTGTCTACCTAAGAGCCAGGATTTAATGAAATTATAAATGTTCTGTGTCAAAGACCATCTTCAGTGAAATGCACATTTTTTTCCCACGAGTGTTGGCAGAGGACACAGTGACGATTAGGGGCATTCAGTGCCCCGCTCTCCCCACCATGGCTTTTGTGTCATTGCCAATGTCAGCTCAGTGAAAAAGGCGGATGCAATCTAGTATTATAACAAAAATAGTCTGGGCCTTGCAGACCCTGTGGAAAGGACTGCGGAGCCCACTTGGAGAACCGCTGTTGTGCAGGAAAGCATTGAGGTGTTGTTTCTTCCTTCTGCTCGGGCCTGCAGGCAGCACCAGGCCCGCACCGCTCCCAAGCCTGCGTTTCACAAAACGGAGAGAAAGCCACATGTAGAAAACAATGTCCTTAGCATGCTGGGAACTTACTTCCCACCTTTATTGAGGTTCTGATAGTTGGTGTTGTTTCAAATACAAGTATAAAGAGATTTGCAAAAAAAAAGAAAAAAAGATATGAGAGGCTGTTTTTGCAAAATTCATAGAATAAATTTAGTTCATTATAACCTAAGTTTAAAACTGAAAAGCTACAGTTTACATAACTACAAACGTGGGAGGAAAATCTGCTTTAAAAGTACTTGACGTGGGACGCCTGGGTGGCTCAGTTGGTTAAGCAGCTGCCTTCGGCTCAGGTCATGATCCCAGCGTCCTGGGATCGAGTCCCACATCGGGCTCCTTGCTCATCAGGAAGCCTGCTTCTCCCTCTGCCTCTGCCTGCCATTCTGTCTGCCTGTGCTCGCTCTCTCTCTCTGACAAATAAATAAATAAAATCTTTAAAAAAAAAAAAAAAAGTACTTGACGTTTAGGGGTAAAGAGAATTTCTCTATCTTCACTGTGTTGGTGGTTGTATAACTGTATGCATTTTTCAAAATCCATACAACCGTGTATCTAAAAAGGGTCAGTTTTATTGTATGTAAATTTTACCAGTAAATCTGATTGCTGCTCTTCCTCCTACCCCCACGAGGTTTGTGACAGAGCATCAGGATTTCTTAAACAACTGAAGAAACAGGTTTAGGAGAAGAGTAACTTGTAGAAGCAGATTTTTGACACCAAGAAATAGAGTTTGTGCCAGCAGTAAAATGACTCCTGGAGTTTACCTTTGTTCTTCAATATATTTAAACCTGTTTGAATTTCTTTATTCTGTTTTTTTTTTGACCCTTTCAGTTGGCATGGATATAATGTCCCCAAAATTGCCTTGAACTCTTTGGTGGGGGAAGAGTGTAATGTGACCTTAGGTGATAGTTGCCACAATAATTTTATAGAAAGTCCCATTGTGTTTGATTAGAATAAATAATAGTGATGGTGTAACATATTTCCACTTAGATCCCTACGGACTCTTCTTTGAACTGCCTACCGAGAATGTTTTAAAAGAAATTATACAGGGGCGCCTGGGTGGCTCAGTGGGTTAAAGCAAAAGCCTCTGCCTTTGGCTCAGGTCGTGATCCCAGGGTCCTGGGATCGAGCCCCACATCGGGCTCTCTGCTCAGCAGCAAGCCTGCTTCCTCCTCTCTCTGCCTGCCTCTCTGCCTACTTGTGATCTCTGTCTGTCAAATAAATAAATAAATAAATAAATAATCTTAAAAAAAAAAAAAGAAATTATACAGTATTTTTCAGTTTTTCTTGCCAAACTTAATATAGGCTGAGATAGGTTGTTAATGTTGTTTTCTCATTAGTAAGAACTTTCCCAAACAATTTTATCACAGTGGGTTGACACTGAATCTGTTGAGAATTAGCAACATGCGTTTTAAGGTATAAACTGATCGGAATACCAACAACAGAAGGATATTTCCTGTCACAGAGGAAGTCGGGTTGCTTGAACTCTGCACTGAGTTGGGTTTAACCGGACTCTCTCACAGGGCGTGTGTAATTCGCATCTGGTGTTGGAGGAGCCGTCTTCCATCGTGCAGCTGGATTATAGCCAGAAAGTGCTGCTCGTGTCTACACTACAAAGAAGCCTGCTTTTTTACATGGAAGAAAAGTCTGTCAAGCAGATTGGAACACAACCAAGGAAAAGGTGGGCGTCACAAGAGCCTCAGCCTGGTGGTTACAGAGGGGCTTTAAGTTTTCCTAGGTTTCCTGTTTGCCATGTGCAAGCCCACAGCTGCTCTAAGCCTGGGGTGCCCAGTGGGTCCCTAACCTGCCTAGGGCACCTTGTTCCAGCATTAAACAGGAACAGCGCATCCCTCTTGTTCTTCTGGGAGAACCCGCAGGCATGGCCTCCCTGCCTTGAGTGCCAGGATCTGGGGGAGTCTCCGATGTGGTCTGCTTTGGGTCCACTCCTGTGCAGGTGCCCCTCTCCCACAGCCCCGGTCAAGGGTCAGGGCCCCGCTGCACCATGTGGGCTGGGCCAGGCTTGGGGATAAGAGGCAGACAAGGTAGATAGGAGCCCACCATCATGAAAACTTAATAAACTCAGCAGGAAAGTTAATTGTTGTGTTACCTGCTGTGGGGCAGTGTGCAGGGTGCTGTGAAACTTCTCCCCAGCCTGGAGCTGAAGGCAGACTCCCTGAAGGAGTGGGTGAGGGAGAAGTGGAACTGGCCAAGAAGAGTGGGAGGCTTCCAGGCTGAGAGATTGTCCCCCAGTTGACCTGCTACCCAGAAGGACAGCAAGAGAAGGGGTAGACCAAGTCCAGTCGCCTATCCGCCATGTGAGAAGAGGCAGCAGGAGTGCATGGCGGGTCTCCCTGCCAGAAACACATGTGTAGAGCCCTGGGGCCCAGTTTACCTGGGGGTGGGGCCGGTGAGGAGGGGCTGGGTAGAGTGGTGGGGCCACCCCCTCATCCTGAGAGAGAGGGGCAAGAGCCAAGTGGCAGGAAGAGAGGATGGGCGCCAGCAGCTTGTGGATTGGCAGCGGGATTTGGAGAAGTTCCCGGTAAAAGGGCAGTGTTGCTTAGAGAGGATCAGAGGGGCTGGTGGCGGGTGGGCAGGGGAGTGGGATGAACAGGCTGACAGTGGGATGTGGGTTGGCTGCGCGAGAGAGGGAGGGCCCACGGAAGCTGGTGGTGACAGCCCGGCGGGTGATGGATGGCCCGGAGAAGGGGAGGTCACATGGGCGGAGTGTGGCAGCCCTTCGCTATTAAAAGACCTGATCAGGCCTCCCTTTGGCTTCTGTTCTCCATGCTGAATACCCCTCAATCCATCAACAATTTAGCCTTTTTATAGCAGTAGTCTCCCGGTTGGCCCCTGGAAAACGCAGTGGAATTTGTAGTTCCGGCTTAGGGGCTCTGCACGTCTTCATCTCGCCTTTCCCTCTGCCAGTGTCCCCCTCTTCTGCCTGATGCTTTGTTCTGACTTGGCGTCAGTGTCTCACTACACTCTTTGGAAGGGTAGTGCAGGATAGATAGGAAAACCAGTTCCTTTTCATGGGGAGCAGCCAGTAGTCCTTCTCTTAAAACCCGGTCTTCCAAGCTCCAGGGTGGAAACCTAAGCAAGTTTCCATGAGCCCCTCCTGGTGCACATGTGTGGTCGAGCCTGTGGCCTGTGCTGGGCACTGCTCCAGGCTGCGGATGCAAACAAATGTCTCCCCTTTCTTCCTGGGAGGTCTGTTTCAGTGAGCCCTAGAGGAGTGGGGATAACACAGAATAAATGGAAAAGTTGGTCATCCCTGTGTCTTAAAGATTGTTTTCTGTTGCATGTATGTGAGCTTGTGGTTCAGAAGGGGCATCTGGCAAGTCTGCCCCCTGGGAGCCGTGTGTCATCCAGCACGTGTGGGGCAGTAGCATGCGGTGGGCAGGTGGGCAAGGGACAGGTCTCTACCCCCAAGCAGAATAGCTATGTGGGTGGCAGTGTGTGCTGCAGAGAAGGCAGTTGGGGTGAAGCCTGGGTGGGGGGTCATGCTCTCTTAGAATAGTCTGGAGAGACTTCTGTGGGGAAGTGATATTTGAGCAGAAGCCTCAGGCACGGGAAGAGCTGCTGGAGGAGAATTCTGGTCTCAGGAAACAGCGTATGCCAAGGCCACGGATTCAGCCAGGGCTTCAGCGTTCGGGGAGCCAGAGGGGCCCAGGTGACCAGGGAGCAGTGGGTTGGGTGCACTGGTAGAAAATGAGATTGGAGGGGCACCTGGGTGCCTCAGTCAGTTAAGCGTCTGCCTTTGGCTCAGGTCATGATCCCAGGGTCCTGGGATAGAGCCCCACATCAGGCTCCCTGCTCAGCAGGAAGTCTGCTTCTCCCTCTGTCCCTGCCCCTGCTCGTGCTCTCTTTCTCGCTGTGTCTCTCTCTGTCAAATAAATAAATAAAATCTTTAAAAGAAAAAAAAAGAGAAAGAGAAAGAAAATGAGATTGGAAAGGAGGGCCTGAGCCAGCTTAGGGGCAGGGCTGGAGCACCATGTGCTGTTGCCCAGGTTATCCTAGGCATAACCAAAGGCTCTTGAGTGCTGTAGGCAGGAGAATGGCCACATGAGCAACGTTTCCGAGCTCATCCAGTTCTGCGTGGAGACTCAACTGGAGATGGGCAGGAGGGGGAGGATGAGGAGGGTGCTGTGGGAGTCCTGGGAGCAGGCATGGGGGCTGGCCCTTGGTGGTGGCCGTCAGGAGACGGGGAGATGCAGGGAGCTGCAGTTTGGAGATGGAAAGCACGGGGCAGGATAATGGATTGGATGTGGGGCGAGGGGAAGAGAAGGTTTCGTACCGGCAGCTGCAGCAGCTAGTTAGCTGTGGTGGAAACACAGGGCAAGCCCGGGTTTGAGGTCTAGACAACTATTCTGTTGGGGGCATTATTGAGCTGAAGGTGCCTGTTAGGTAGTAGTCAAGCAGGAGTCATCGTGAGGAGTGACATCTCCAGGTGACAGCTGTGACCTGGGAAAACCTCTAATCTCGGCTCATATTCCTGGCGGGGGAAACCAACATTAAATAAATATGTTCTAGAATGTTCGGTAGTAAACCGGATATGGACTACAGAGGAGGGAGCAGGGGACATGGGTGCTTGCTCTAGATAGGCAGGGAGGGACAGCTCTTCCGCAGGAGGGACTGGAGTAGATTCCTGAAGGAAGGGCAGAAGGAGCCACCAGAGGACTTTGAAGAGAAGCTCTTGAGGCAGAAGCAGTGTGTGTGCCAAGCGTTTGAGTGTTTGGGGAGCAGCAAGGCCGTGTGGGCCTTGGTAGGGTAGGGCCGGGGTAGGACCCCGTCGTGTAGACTTTGTGAGCCTTACATGGGGCTGCTTTATTCTAGCACGCCAGCAGTCATGGGAGGCTTTGACCAGGGCAGGTCACCCTTGCTGCTCTTTGGAGGGGACAAGAGTGCCAGCTCAGGGGGCAGCCAGGGCCTTAGGCCAGGGAAGGGTGGTAGGATTGCTCAGAGGACAGAGCTGACAGGTTGGCTCTGGCAGGTGAGGGAGGGAGATGAGTCAGAGGCCGTGGCTGAGCACTCGGGTTGGGGGTGGCGGCGCTCTGGCCTGGAGAAGTCTGGTGGAGAGGCCAGAGGGGCTGTTGCAGACAGGTGGCACAGTCTTTCTCCCGGGGGCAGCCAAAGGGGCAGGGGCAGCAGGTGTGCATCTCAGGAAGCAGGTGCGGCCAGAGCCTGTAGCACGTGGACGGTCTGGACAAGCTCTGGGACCGATGAGCTCGCCGCGGGAGTGAGCATGGTTTGGGGGCGGGGTTGTCTCTGTTCTGGGCATCGGCAGAGACCGGGACGTGAGGAGGGGTCAGGGGAGTGAGAAGTTGGAAGACACATGGAGGGAGTGTCACAGGGCCAGCCGCTGTGTCAGAGCTGCTGACTGCCCAGAGAGATGGCCTGAGACAGACGTTTGGGTATGGCGACCTGGTGGCTACACACGGTCTTGCTCAAGGATAGGGGCCGAGGGTGAAAGGGCTGGAGGGGACAGGATCACGGTGCTTGGGGACAGCTTTGCAGGAGGCTGGTTTTGTAGAAGGGAACACAGGAGGGGGCGCTTTGCAGGGAGTGTGTCTGCTGAGAGGTTTGTAAGACGGGCTGGGTGGCTGGCGCTGGCTGGCACAGAGCACGAGATGGCGGTGCCTGTCGTGACCTCCCTGGAACCCGATGGTGGGTGACAGCGTGGCCTGAATAGGGCGGGAGTGTTCTCAGCGGGCAACAGAGCACGGGTGTGGGTGCATCTGCAGGCAGGGGACCGCGGTGGTGGGGGATGGGGTCATCCTTTTCGGATGGAGTTTGTGAGCCTCCTCAGACCGGACCAGATAATACATGTTACTCCCAGAAGACCTCAGAGCCCCCAGCTGTCCCCAAATGTGTTGTATCTTTGCTCTTCTGGACTCTATTTTCACTATCTCATGTGGGAACCCTCTCCCTACCTATTAGGTGTCCCCGAGGCCCTGTCCTCAGGGCCCCCGCGCGAGGCCATCCGTGCATGTGGACCTGGGGAGTCTACCCCCCAGCAGAGCCAGCACCAGGTTCTGGAACAGGGTCACTGCTGTCATGCCTGTGTGGTAGTCTGTGGGCAGTTGGCTGCTGAGCCTTTTGTCACCCATCATAGACTTTCATTCTCTTGCCTCAGGCTCTCTGTCCATGCTCAGCATTTCCGGTCTGTGGTACCAGCGGATTATACAGCTCGTTAGAAAACACTCCTTCCAGAGCTCCCAGCTGGCTCAGTCGGTGCAGCATGAGACTCTTGATCTTAGCGTTGTGAGTTTGAGCCCCACGCTGGGGGTAGAGAGTGCTTAAAAATAAAATTGTTTAGGGGCGCCTGGGTGGCTCAGTGGCTTAAGTGTCTGCCTTCGGCTCAGGTCATGATCTCAGGGTCCTGGGATCGAGCCCCGCATCGGGCTCTGTGCTCAGCAGGGAGCCTGCTTCCCCCTCTCTTCCCTCTGCCTGCCTCTTTGCCTGCTTGTGATCTCTCTCTCTCTCTCTGTGTCAAATAAATAAATAAAATCTTTAAAAAGAAATAAAATCGTTTTAAAATCCCAAAACAAACAAAAAACCACACCTTTCATGTTAATGTGGCTTATAAAGGAAATTAACGTATTTTTTAAAGTCATCAGTGATTTCTCTGCAAGTCATCTCCATCAGAATTAAGAAAGTGGGTTGATGAAGTTATGATTTTAGAGCCCTGCAGTGCCTGGGCCTTGAAAGTTGGGGTCTGAGGGTCCGCTTCAGAACGACCGCAGCAGGTGCACCATCGTGCTGCCGCGGGTGGTGCTAAGCCCGGGGCGAAGGACAGTTTGCACCTGCCCTAGCTAGTTATCCCCAGCTTAGCCGCCTCCCCTTGCAGTCTCCCTCCCCCACCACCAACCACACACCACATGTTCTAGCAGTTCCATAGAGCCAGCTGCCCACCAGGACCCTCTCGGCATGTTCCTTCCCCCACAGTGCCCGTCCCATCCTCAGCCAGGAATAGTCCCAGGTCTAGCCCTCTCCTGCCCCAGTCAGATGTCTCCCGTCTGGACCACTCGTGGGGCCCTTTGAGCCTCAGATGGTCTTCCAGTGGTTCTTATCCACGCACATGTCTGCCCGCGCCTGTTCTCAGCCAGGGCCAGGATCTCGTGTCGTTTCTCTTTCACGTTGCCCATGGCACCAGGTCTCACACAGGGCAGGACTCCCTCAGTGTTTGTTCAAGTGAATGCTGCAGTTATCCAAGGTGAGCAGATTAAAGTGGAAGTGACAAGAGGTTTTTAAGAGGACCTATAAATAGAAGGAAAACATTTAACAAGTGGGTCACCAAACAGAAATCGATTTGACAGGAAGGGCAAGAAGAAGAGGTTATGGACTGCCCTGTGAGAATTCCTTTGGGTCTATTTAGAGAATCTTTCCAGAACAAATCCACCAAAGGCAGTAATCAAACCCGAGGCCAATTATAGAGTTGTCCAGGAATGATCTACAGTGTTAGAACGGTCTTGGTTCATCTAACAATCTTCGTTTCAAAGCTGAATTTGATATTCAGTACCCTCCTTGGGCCCCATCCAGAGGGATTTAGTTACTCTGCACCCAGAGGGACCTAGAGAGAGACTGGCAGAGAATGTCCAGATAATTCTGTGTGACCATGTGGGATAGGCTCTGGAGACAGCCCTTCAGGAGGACCGGTGTGCTGCTGTGTGCAGGGAGGGTGAGGAGAGAGGCACAGGGCTGTGAGCAGAACGAGGGGCCCATCCCAGCTGGGAGCACCCGGAGCCCGGTCCGGGGGGTTACCACGTCAGCAGCAGCACTTCTGTGCCCTCCTAGACTGGCTCACTTAATCTTCACTTTAACCTTTGAGATGGGAAGGATTACCCTTGGTTTACAGATAAGGAAACTGAGCTCCAGAAAGTTCACATAGTAAATATCAGGGCTGGACATGGAGCCTCTCTGTCAATCAAGAGTCAGTACTGTTTCTACTGCTTCAAGTCAGAGAAGTATTTTGGGGAGAGGGTGGCCTGAAACTCTTGAACTCTGAGCTCTGGTAGGAGCCTGAGATTGGACAAAGGTGTGGAACCATGAGAACTCAGGAGAACCCCCCGCCGGCTCAGCTGGGGGAGCGTGCAGCTCTTGATTTCGGGGTGTGGGTTCAAGCCCCACATTGGGTGTAGAGATTGCTTAAAAATCCCTTTGGGGGAAAAAAGAATTCAGATTGCTGGTGGGAGCAAAGGTTGGATTAAGCATATTGAAAAAAGTTTGGTGAAATTATCTTTCAAACCTGAATGTGGTCAACTCAGCAACCCAACAGCTCCCTGACAGCGCAGCAGTTCCATCTCCAGGAGACCCGGGCAGACTCTGACACACCCGTGTGCTAGGAGGCCTGTGTGGAAATGCTTGTGGTATTGTTGTTTAAAATAGCAAAGTAGAAATAATTCAAATACCCATCAACAAGGGAGTGAGTGAAAAAAGATGTGGCATGCTATATAGCAGTGAAAATGAATGAGCTGTAGTTGTTTTGTCAGTAAAGATAAATCTTTAATCAATGTTAAAAGTAAGTGGCAAAAGTGTACAAATAGCGTTATTACTTTTTTTATGCAAATGGAAGATGATACTAAGATATGTAGCGTTTATGGATACATAGGTATGTGGCTAAGCTATCAGTAGTAAAAGCAAGGGAATAGCAAAATTCAGTCTGGTGATCACACCTGGGGAACGGAGGGGCAGGGACATTAGGAGTGTGGGAGAACACCACCCATGTCACTGATGATTTATTTCCAAAGTTGAGGGATGGGCTCCTGGGTGGGCATTTCATTTGTTAGGCTTCATAATTTTATATGCCTCTAAGTGTGTGTGTGTGCACCTGGGCGGATATATGGTATAAAATGATACGTATTATATTATATAAAACATACATTTTGTGTTAGGTATTTCATAATTTTAAAAAATAGAAAAAAATGACACACCCGTGGAACGGACAGGAAGCTGGTCCCTGTGACGGGTTTAGACTTGGTCATAGGCGTGACGCTCATTCACTGGGATCCTGGTGTGAGCGCAGCAGTCAGGGTTAGGAGGAACAGAACTTTCGGGTGCGTGGGTGGCTCAGTGGGTTAAGCCACTGCCTTCGGCTCAGGTCATGATCTCAGGGTCCTGGAATCGAGTCCCACGTTGGACTCTCTGCTTAGCGGGGAGCCTGCTTCCTCTCTCTCTCTCTCTCTCTGCCTGCCTCTCTGTCTACTTGTGATCTCTCTCTCTCTCTCTCTGTCAAATAAATAAATAAATAAATCTTTAAAAAGAAAAAAAAAAAAAAGGATGAACAGAACTTCCGAACAGGGAGAGGATGGTCGGACCTGGATTGTCAGCTTCCGCCTCCATTTCCTCTTCTCTGACACAGGAGCTGTACCATTTGCCTTGTGGCACTGCTGCAAGGATTGAGCCAGAGGGTAGAGACGAAGCCCAGGGCACAGCACCATGACGGTCGCCACGAGCCAGGCTGCCTTGCCTGCTCAGCGGCACATGCTTCCGAGGGGCTACAGGGAGGAGGAGACACAGAGATGACAGTGTCGTTCTAGTAACAACAGAACAGACTGTAGAAGAGGGTTTGAAAAAACATCAATCTTATTTAGGCTTATCCAAAAAATTCTTGTTAGAGTTGATGTCAAGGGTTGACAACTATCACTTTAAATCAGTTTGTATCTGTTTCTTCTTCTTCTTCTTTTTTTTTTTTTTTTTGGTAATTTCAGCACTGGGAAGTTTGGAGCTTGTTTTATACCAGGACTTTGTAAGCAGAGTGATCTGACCTTGTACGCGTCACGGCCTGGGCTCCGACTGTGGAAGGCGGATATCCATGGGACTGTTCAAGCCACGTTTATCTTAAAAGATGTCTTTGCTGGAGGAGTCAAGCCTTTTGAACTGTACCCACGTCTGGAATCCTCCAACAGGGGAAGTTGCAGCTTACCTGAGAAACACCTGGGGCTTGTTTCATGTTTCTTTCAAGAAGGCTGGGTGTTGAGTTGGAATGAATATAGTATTTACCTTCTAGACACTATCAACCAGGTAAGTGGCGTGATCGCACCACACCTTTGGTGTCTTTACCTACGGACTGTTTCTCATAATGGTAGAAGAAACAGCATTAATTCTAATGCTTTACTTTTTCCTTTGCAAGGAAATCAAGTAAGGGTCTAATTATTTTATAGATTTGGTTTTGGTAGAACCTTCTAGCTGTTCTGCCTCTAAGCGGAAGTGTCGTCTGCCTGGCATGGCTTCCTCACCTGGAACCTGAGGGTAGGGCAAGCAGGGCTGGGGCCACGAAGCTGGCTTTTAACCCTGAGTTGGTTTCTCTTCTTAAGGAACACTTTGAAAGGCATCTCTGTATTCTCCACTTATAGACAACTTAAGTTTTCTTCTTTCTCTGGGTACTCTTTGAACTTGATGCACACTTAGTAGTGAGTGGGGTTGAGAGGTTTGGTGACTATGTATCAGTTCCTTTCTTCTGAGCCCTTGCCCCAGTGCTTTCTGCGACGGGTGGCATTAACTTCACGACACAAAGGGGCTGTCCACATGCAGACGTTGTGGCTGCCATCAGAGTGTACGTGGCACCATGATGGGCAGCTTTCAAACTAATGGCATGCTTCTAGATGTTCATCAGGATTATTTAGAAATTAACAAAGAATTTAGGCCCTTCTTCCCTCTATAGTGAACTGCCTTTTGTCTATACTGTTAGCAGAAAAGAAAATGTTTTAAAATCATTCAGACTCTGGATGTCCTGTTTTCAAGTGTTGGTAGGGACCCCCTCCCTCTCTCCATTCTTTCATTCCGAGCCATGAATTGCAGTGTCCACTCGTCTCTCCCGCGGGAGTGCACACCGTAGAGGTCTGGAACAGTCAGCACATCACTCCAGCCCAGGAGCAGCGTTCCTCTGGGTGTGTGTACAAAGTGCCGTGAGTCCTGGGCATGCCATTGAGTCTGGGCTCCTCAGGGACCATTTCCCGAGGAGGTGATGTCTGACTCCAGTCGGACCTCTCCCAGCAGACAAGGGCCAGGAAAGGAGCTCGAGTGGAGCCGTGGCATCCTGGAGGAACAAGCCTGAGGTCTGGCCTGGCCCACTCCGCTCAGGGCACCTAAAGCACAGACCACGGCAGCCATGTGCGGCCAGTGGGAAGGTCCTGCCAAAGAGCATGGGCGCCCTGTGCTGGAGGGAGGGGCGCTGGGCGGGCTGCAGCTCCCAGCGCTCACACGTGGGCTGAGCTGCTCGCTCAGTCCCATGGAGTCACTGGCAAGGCTTACGACTTCGGGTCAGGTACCCGTCAGCCACTCCTTACCTTTGAGTTTGTCACTTCTTTTTTTTTTTTTTTTTTTAAAGATTTTATTCATAGGGCGCCTGGGTGGCTCAGTGGGCTAAAGCCTCTGCCTTCGGCTCAGGTCATGGTCCCAGAGTCCTGGGATCGAGCCCCACATGGGGCTCTCTGCTCAACGGGGAGCCTGCTTCCCCCTCTCTCTCTGCCTGCCTCTCTGCCTACTTGTGATCTCTGTCTGTCAAATAAATAAATAAAATCTTTAAAAATAATAAATTTTTAAAAAAGATTTCATTTATTTGACAGACAGAGATCACAAGCAGGCAGAGAGGGGGAAGCAGGCTCCCCGCTGAGCAAAGAGCCCGATGCGGGGCTCGATCCCAGGACCCTGGGACCATGACCTGAGCCGAAGGCAGAGGCTTAACCCACTGAGCCACCCATGTGCCCCTCGCATTTGTCACTTCTAAGCTGGTTCAGAAAGAGCCTGGCAGAGCACAGGAGTCATCGGACTCATCTGGACTCCTGCAGCTTTGTGTCCGCTTTCAGCCGTTAATATTGCCTGGTTGTGTGATTTTCTTTTTCTTTTCTTTTTTTTTTTTTTTTTTTGGACAGGCCACAATTGCTGGTTTGGAAGGATCAGGTGACATCGTGTCTGTTTCCTGCACAGAAAATGAAATATTTTTCTTAAAGGGAGATAGGAACATTATAAGAATTTCAAGCAGACCTGAAGGATTAGCATCAATAGGTTTGTATTTGTTATAAAATGTGCTGTGTGTATGTAATTGTAGTTTATAATTGATAAAGCTTATTAGCATTACTTTGTTAAACAACTGTAGCTTTTTTTTTTTTTAAGATTTTATTTATTTATTTGACAGACAGAGATCACAAGTAGGCAGAGAGGCGGGGGGCGGGAAGCAGGCTCCCTGCTGAGCAGAGAGCCCGACGCAGGGCTCGATCCCAGGACCCTGGGATCATGACCCGAGCCGAAGGCAGAGGCTTTAACCCACTGAGCCACCCAGGCGCCCCAACAACTGTAGCTTTATTTGAACAAGGAAGTATTTGGAGAGTTTCCTATGATTTTTTTTTTTTAAGATTTTTTTGTTTTGTTTTGTTTTAGAGGGAGAGTGTGTACGAGCAGGGGGAGGGGCAGAGGGAGACGGCGGGAATCTCAAGCAGACCGTGCACTGAGTGCGGAGCGTCACTCGGGGCTCGATCTCACGACCCTGAGATCAGGACCTGAGCTGAAACCAAGAGTCAGATGCTTAACCCACTGAGCCGCCCAGGCCTCCCTCCTGTGATTCTTAAAATACGGTTTACAGTGCTTTTCTTGAAGCTTATCTACCGTAAGGCTCACATCAGACAGCCTCGCATTTGGTGAAGTGGTTCCATGGGTCTGGAAGGTGGGGGGCTGGACGAGTAGTGAGGGGAACTCAGCACCCACGTGACTGGCCGCTGGCACCCTAAGACTGCATGTGGGATTGACACTTCAAAGGACAGATTTGCCAAGATTTTAGGACATTGAAATCTGTTCTCTGGAACACGTCCTTTACCCTCCACACAGTTCTTCCGTAGGATGCTGATCATTCTCCGTGCTTCTGACTTCTTGTTCTAAGTCCCACCGCCCGGGTTCTGGCGAGCACGTTCCCGTGCACACATCCACAGTACTTGGTATATTTGGTGCCTCGTCAGTGAACTTGTCCCCATGGTGACAGCAGCCATGTGGGGAGCCCCTCCTCCTCTCTGTCCCTCACTTTGTTCTCACTGTGTTCCAGACACTCCTAAGCACTTAACAGTCATGACCTCATAAAATCCTCAACGCAGCCCTGCATGGAAGGTACTGGTTCTACAGATGAGACTGGGGCTGTGGAAATTGCAGCGAGGTCCCGAAAACACCACCGCTGGGGGGATGAGAGCCGTACGTGGGGGACATCTGTGTGGCCCCCGAGGTCCCGCACATGTGTAGCCTCAAGTTCACGGAGCAGTTTCACAGGCACCCTGTTTGATGCTCAGGACAAGCCTGTGGGAAACATGAGGCAGGTGGCCCTGGCACGGCCTTTCCCCAGCCAGTTCCCCTTCCCCCCGGGGCTGGGAACAGCCTTGTGCCTTCCTCGCTTACTGCTCCTGTTGCCACCATGTCCCAGGTGGTGTGCAGGGCGCCCCCACCCCAGCTGAGCTCTCTGGATTCCTGCCGCCACCCCCTGTCCCCAGCGCCCCAGGCAGGTCTGAGTGCTGGGTGTGTGCCCTCCCTTACGCGGCCTGCTTTGGCCGGTGCTGCCCTCTGCTGTCAGTTCAGGTCTTCCTGTATCTTTTACACTTTCCCTGAGTGCTTTAGTTAAGTCGGCCCTCCCTATCTTCGCTTGAGTTCCCAGGGGCCTTTCCTCCCACCGCTGTTGTGGCCGGGGAGCCATTTCCTTACCATGTCCTTCCCTCACAAAATAGTAAACCTTTTGCTTGCAAGGATCTTATAGCTCAGCTTTGTGGCCCCAGATAGCATATGGCACACAGAAGCCCAGAGTGAGTGTTTCTTAATCCACGGTGTCCCGTTTCAGATTAGAAAACCAAGGACTGGGGTGGGTAAATGACAAGCCCCAAATCCACCAGCCCCGTCTTCAGATTACTGCTTCAGCCAACGCTTCTCCTGCTTCTCCTGCCTGGCTACACTGGTCAGAAGCGTGGACCTTTTGTCATAGCTACGGGCTTGGGGTATCTTGGCCCTGGAAGCATCCTTGCTCTGACTTCTGCTCTCACCAGCACTAGCTGGTGTCTGAGACACTGCAGGAGAAGGAGGAGAGGGAGTAGAAGGCCTGGACCCAAGTGGGTGGGCCAGTTGCAAACCCAGGGCCTTCTAGAGCGGGAAGCAAGGCAGGAGCAAGGCGAGGGAAGGGCGCTCCAGGTGGCAAGCCCCTGAGCCCCCAGGCGTTACTAAGGCCTTTGTCCTTTTGTAATGTTAGAATACGAAGTATGGTTAGTAGGAGAATATCCCAAACAGCCTCTCAGAGCCAGATGTTTAGGACTTGAAAAGATGAAAATGTCCTAAGGGCTACCTTGGCCCCCACTTTACTGCCTCTTACAAGATGGCAGGGTGGGCGTGGGGTGGGAGTGAGTTATTTCTTAGGTCAGAGGGTCAGACAGGGTTGCTGTCACCCCAGGCCGCAATTTCTGTGGAACAGGACTAAGCTCTGAGTCTTTTGAGTTTTCGGAGCTGGCATCTGCACGGTGTGGTCCAGGGCGGGCGGCTCACGAGAGGGAAGTCCGGGGGGGCCTCTCTGCGGAGACGGAAGCACTCTGTGTCCGCGCCGTCCGCACAGGCTGCCGCGCGCTTGCAGTGTGGGGAGCGCAGCTGCATTTACCTTGTGCTCGACTTTGAGTTTAAATAGCTGCGCATGGCAGTGGCTGCTGTATCGCACAGGACGGCTCTAGACCGAGACCTGCCACGGCTCGTGTGGTCTTCAACAGGTCGCTTCCCTGGCCAGGCTTCGCTCCGAGCAGAGCCCTGCGTGTCTGTCCCCAGCTTGCACAGCACAGCCCCTAGTCTGCCCCGGGGCCACCCTCACGAGAGGACAGGAGTTCCCGTCTGGCTGGTGGTCCCCGAACAGTGCCGGGCCCAAAGTGGATACGTAGTATCGGGATGGCTGAGTGGGTAAAGTCGTCCATAGTCCTGTGTACGGGGTCCTGTGGCTGGAGCCCCGGTGGCCATGGCGACTTGTGCTGTTGTGTTGAGAAGGACGAGTCCGTGAAGGTGAGAAACTCGCTGGCTCTTGGTCATGGGTACAGAGCAGGGTGCCTTGAGCCTCTGCTGCCACATCCTCATGCCACGCTTCTCTGTCCTGGGTTTGTTCTCCGGGAAAATGCCCTTTCTCTTCTTAAATTTCAAGAAATATAGGTACGCATATGTTTTTTAAGTGCCTTTTGAGTTCTTTTATGTTTAAGGTGTGGTCTAAGTAGGGGCCATCACTAAACCCTCTTAGAAACAGCTCATTTGTCTTCTTTAGGAATTATTTGTGAATTGATGTAAAAAATGCTGTATACTTAGTAGCGTCCCGTTCCTGTTGAGCTATTTATAGAAAATTGCCGTGAGGAGCCATTTTCCTGATTGTGGTGTATGATCTCCCCGGAGCACAGAGCCATTGTGGACTGTTACGTGCGACCTTCCCGCTTCAGCAGTCTCTCTGAGCCTAGCGGGTGGGGATTTACGGCTAGCAGACCTGAATGAGAGCTTGTAGACTTCCTTGGACAACCAGCAGTGACCCCCAACCCTCTTTCTCAGTGCGAGATGGTCTGGAGACACCGGGATGCGCAGAGCAGGCCCCTGGGCAACGTGGGGAGAAGCCGTCGGGGGCCCCGGTTTCGGAGACAAGGCTCAGGGGCTCTTCCGTGGCCAGCTCTGTGGCCAGCGAGCCCAGGAGCAGGAGCAGCTCGCTCAACTCCACCGACAGTGGCTCTGGGCTCCAGGCAGCTCCGGAGCTGCGGAGGGGAGGCCAGCCCGCCTCGCAGAGATTCAGCGTGATCAGCTCCGAAGACTTTGACCAGGAGCTTGTCGTGAAGCCTCTGAAAGTGAAAAAGAAGAGGAAGAAGCGATCAGGTACCATCCTTCGCAAAACACACACTGACTCCTTACGCAGGGGCGTTCTCGCACACTTTTGGGGAGTGCTGCTTTCACTGCGTGAGCATTTGCCCATTTGGTGAGAAGCAGAGAAGGCCTTCAGAAGATACGGGTACTCTTTCCTCAAAGGAGTTTTACCATGAAATATTTCATATGTTAAGAGAGAGTACCACACACACCGAAAGCACCTTCATGGGGTGTGAGTAATATAATAACACACACCTGTGTACTTACCACCCTGCCTGATGGGTCTGGGGCTGTACTTCTCGATAGTTAAGTAAAATTTTAGATGTATCCATGTAAAGCACGTATTAGACCAGAGACACTATGAGCCTGGATGGAAAGGCACGGAAATAGAAGATTTATGCTGGTGTCTAGACGGGTCGTTTTACATTTAGTGTTGGATAGGTTACCGACCATGGGATTTAACATAGAAATGGTTTAAGTTTTTACTCCTTCATTCCTGTTAGGCCTCTCCAGCTACACATACGTATCAGACTGCTAAGCATGTTAATAATTTTAAACAACTGGTCTGCTGTCCATCCTTTCCTTTGTTTTCCTCCATTAACATTTCTTGAGCGAGGCCTAGAGCCCATCACTGTCTCTGATGTTTGCATCCATTTAAGACATCTCTGCATGGGGATAATTTGTACTTGAGAGATGCATTCCTCACCACTTAAATATCCTTCATTTAAAATGTATTTTTTTCCTTGAGCCAAAATTGTGTTTTTTAGTCTCTTACTATTTATATGGAGTCATACCCCATTTTAAACATTCTTATTTTAAATTTTAAATTAGAAGGTGCAAGCAGGAACACCTGCCACAGTTCCCTTGAATCAACTCCCTGCTATGAGTTTCCTGGTGACAGTCCCCAGTCCTTGAACACAGACCTGCTATCCATGACCTCGAGTTTGGGCAGCATCATGGATCGGTTGAGCACAGAGTCTCCTGACCAGGAGAGTAACCTCAGTGGTGAGGTGAATGGTGTCCTGCAGGAAAATATTGACCCTGAAGCGTTCAGTGTCCTGGAGGTGCCTGAGCCCGCCACTGCCGTCCTGCATGAAGGGAATGGTGACAGACCTGGACTCCCACGATGTGACTGTGCCGAAGACACAGGGCCGCACAGTGGAGTGTGGACTTCACTCCTGGAGCTGAGGGAAGCTGTGGAAGGTAGTGACATTACAGAACTCAGAGAGGAACCTTGTCCCGCAGACGATGGACTGAATAGCAGACAGTCGCCCTGTCGAGAAAAGGACAGCTCTGCAGAGGCCCAGGAAGCAGGGGATGTGGAGCTTGATGACCCCCAAAGCACTTTTTCTGAAGTCCCTTTCTTGGACTCACCCCTGGTGCCTTCCAGCCTCAGCTGGGCCCCCCGTGCCGAGCCGTGGCTGCCGGGGACCGGAGCTGATGAAGGCTGTGCCGAGGAGCCCAGCAAGGAGCAGGGCTTCCTCACACACATGGGGGGCCCGAGCCACCTCGGCTCACATCCCTGGCACACTGTCACCGACAGTGACACAGGCCTGAAGGAAATGGTTGCCTCGGGTTGTGACTCGGGGAGTGTGAGAGGACGGCTGACACCCCCAGTCTCTGCCTTGGCGGCTCACACTCATGAGCCTCGGCTCGAGCAGCCTTCACGGGACCAGGTGTTGACATCCAGTGATGAGGAGGACATCTATGCCCAGGGGTTGCCTTCTTCTTCCTCGGAGACAAGTGTGACAGAGCTCGGTGGTAGTCGCTCCCTGCAGGACCTAAGCCAGCCTGGCACGGAGGACACCGGGCTCCTAAAGTCAGATCAGGTATGTGGGTTTGGGGTGGCCGGTGTCCTGGGGTCCACCCAACCCACGTAGTCAAGGATGATGATTCCTGATCATTTACATAACAGAGATTGTTTTCAAAATGTTTACTTTTCTTAGCAAGTCATTATTTTTCAGTGTATTTGGTTTCGAGACTAAACAGGTCTTATAACTTGTCCTGCCTAGTCATTGTGGGGTGTGGATTATGAGTGTGAACGTGCGTGTGCTTCCGGTAAACAGACCGCTAGATTCTCCCAGCGCTAACGACCTGCATTGTTCAGGAAGCTCTTGCCATGTGCCAGGCACCACGCTAAGCACTTTGTAAGTTCAACTCATTTCCTTCTCCAAGAACAAAACAAAAGTAGGTAAAGAAGTAGGTGCTGCCGTGATCCCCATTTTACAGTGGAGGGAAGGAGGCGTAGGGAAATGGCTTACACAGGTCACATAGCGAGTGAAGGGCAAGGCTGGCCCAGGCCCCTGCTCTCAGCCTCTGTGCTGTCCTGCATGGGCAGTGACATGTCCTGCTTACTTGTTCTGAGACAAATGCTGGAACGTGAGACCTTCCACTCGGTCTCGCCTGCACTCATCATTTCTTGAGTGCCTTCGGCTGCCAGGCTCTGTGTTTGGTGTTGGCTGCTGCGGGCGCGGATAGCCAGTCTGGATCCCAGAATCTCCAGGAGGACCCAGACGTGCCTGCCGATCATCTCAGCTGAGCACGACTCTCGGCCGATGCTGGCCAGCCAGGTGCAGGGCTGTGGGAAGCCTGATGGGCAGGCTGACGACGTCTCGTGCGGGTGGGCTATTGAGATTGGAAGCGAGAACTTGAGAGAAGCCCTCCCCTAGGTGAGAGGGGACCTGGTGCTTGGAGGACTGCTTCCTCCCTTCATGGTCCCCCCCCTTCCCATCCAGTAGCTGGAAAACCAAGAGATTTTGTGGCATTTGCCAGGGGCATGGGGCACAAGTCATGGGAAGCAGGGCTGGATTGAGAAGGGGCGGGTGCCTTTCTTTGTGAAGTAGCGAACTTGCGTATTTGGGTGATGGTGCAAGCTCTTTGTTTCCTTGTGCAGTTTCAGAAAGCTGGTAAGCTGCGAAGACTTCATTTAGCTCTTTTTTAAAGAATCATGGCAACAAAACATCAGTCCATAGAATTCAGCCAGACTCAGTATCTTGGCCAGATTTCCATTAGCCGCACGATGGGACCATGCTTAAAACCCAAGGGCAAGGGCACAGAGCCGGTGGCAGGGCCGCTCATCTGCGCGCCTCGGCAAGGATCCGATGCACAGAATGTGGGTTTGCACGCACGTTGTGTGTTGTGCAGGAGCTAGGTTGTTTTAACGTCAGCACCGCATTAGGAAGGGTGTTCTGACCTGATGGAGAGCTACCCAGGCGGGCTCTGGTGTCCTGACGGGGGACAGTAGTCCCCATTGCAGAACGCTTCTCTCGGTACAGTCCAAAGACAGCAGGTCCCCCCTTGGCTTCTCAGAGACCCTCCGCCCTGCGACTTGTTGACGACTGCCCGACAGTGCGGCTCAGCGCTCTGCTACGGAACTCACCAGGCTCTGTCCTTGTTAGTTTGCAGAAAGCTGGATGGGATACTCCGGTCCCGGCTACGGCATACTCAGCTTGGCGGTCTCCGAGAAGTACATTTGGTGCCTGGACTACAAAGGCGGCCTGTTCTGCAGCGCACTGCCGGGCGCTGGGCTCCGCTGGCAGAAGTTTGAGGACGCCGTCCAGCAGGTGGCGGTCTCCCCCTCAGGTTGGCCTCCCCGCCTCCCACCTCCCTGCTCCTGCTGGTGTAGTGGCCCAGCGCATGGCAGCGGGCACAGGGCAGGCACATGGTGGGCCCTGCCGCAACGCCATCCTTGCAGCATGTGACCAGTACCTGCACGTCTGAGGGTTTTCTCCAAAGAACAGGGGTCACTTCATTTGACATTAATTAATAAACATCCAGTAAATGGATGTTCAGCTTGAATCTTGGTTCGTTTTTTTTTTTTATTAATTACAATGTTAACACGTTAACATGTTTTTATAAGCTATGCAAAGCTTGAATTTTGAGGGATTTTTTTGGAGAGAGATTAACATATAAACACCTTACAAAAATGTGTCCCTATTTCTTTTATGGAAGGGGAGGGGCAGAGGGAAAAGGAGAGAGGATTTTTTTTTTAAAGATTTTATTTATTTATATGGCAGACAGAGATTACAAGTAGGCAGAGAGACGGGAGGAAGCAGGCTCCCTGCCGAGCAGAGAGCCCAATGCGGGACTCGATCCCAGGACCCTGGGATTGTGACCTGGGCTGAAGGCAGAGGCTTTAACCCACTGAGCCTGAGAGAGAGGATCTTAAGCAGGCTCTACATCCAGCATGAAGCCTAACACGGGGCTCAGTATCACAACCCTGACATCATGACCTGAGCCAAAATCAAAAGTTGGACGCTTCACTGACCAAGCCACACAGGCGCCCATGTTCCTGTTTCCTTGTGTTGTTTTAAAGCAACTGAACCAATGGAGATGGACTTATGTGGATATAGATTATTGGGGTTTCTTTCTAGAAATTTTTCTTTAATGAACGATGTATATACTTTGGCCGAATCATCTACGCCCTGAATGTAAAAGAAAAATGCGTTCATTCTTGCAAGCCATGGTCTGGCTAACCATTTTTAGTGAACTGGAGCGGACAGTTCCTGAATGATGCTCTACTAGGCTTTGAGCCTGTACCTCTCTTCCCTGTCCAGAATCATTTGCACATCTGTTTGTCAAAATGTTGGCCACTTCACCTGCTGGGGGGGTGGGTAGGTAGAATTGAAGTATTCCTGTGTATTTGCCTCATAGTAACTCACCCCCCACACCTCTTTTTAGAGATTTTATTTTTATTTGACAGAGAGAGACACAGCGAGACAGGGAACAGAGGCAGGGCGAGTGGGAGAGGGGAAGCAAGCTTTCCTGCTGAGCAGGGAGCCCGATGAGGGGCTCGAGCCCAGGTCTCTGAGACCGTGACGTGAGCCGAAGGCAGACACTCAACCACTGAGCCATCCAGGCGCCCCACATAGTATCTTCTTATTGTTAAGACCCTGGAGCAGAAGTCAGACAAAACGTACTCGGTGACTTTAGACTTATCCCCGTAATTTTACTGTGTTTCTGATGGATTTCCTTGAACTCTTCCTGGTCTTTGTCACTATTTAAAATAGCATTTTGTGGGACGCCTGGGTGGCTCAGTTGGTTAAGCGGCTGCCTTCGGCTCAGGTCATGATCCCAGCGTCCTGGGATCGAGTCCCACATCAGGCTCCTTGCTCGGCAGGGAGCCTGCTTCTCCCTCTGCCTCTGCCTGCCTCTCTGTCTGCCTGTGCTCGCTCACTCTCTCTCCCTCTGTCTCTGACAAATAAATAAATAAAATCTTTAAAAAAAAAAAATAAAAAAAAAATAAAATAGCATTTTGTTCAAGGTTGTTTCATCTCTTTGCTTATCTGAAAAATAATTTTCCTCAGAGAGTGGCTGAGATCATAGTCTAGTCTTTAACTCTCGTTATGTAACTGTGCGCTTTAATTCTTTCTCTGCCATTTGCTTCTGTTCACCCTCCCAGCCATTTAGAAGCCTTGGTTCTATCCTGATCCTGTTGATTACTTTGTGTTTCCAAACCCTCCGGCCCTCGCTGATCTCGTAGGAATTCTGTCCTCACCAGATCAGTGTGCTTGACTGAGTCGCCCTGCAGTGCCCACGTCTTCAGGGGGGCACCGGAGCCCCACTGTGTTCAGGGTGTGCTTCGGGCTTAGCCGTCTGGCTCTTCTCCTCTTACCTTGGCTTTCCCCATCAGACCCTCTAGTCCAGCCTGTGGTCTTGGTGATTCTCTGGTGGTTTCTTTCCTGTGGCCGCCTGGCCTGTGTCACGCCCTCCATATACACAGAATGTCCTCCTCTCCTCCCCTTCTTCATCTCTGCTCAAGTGTCTCCTTTGTGTGCATCTTAACCCTCAGTTGGTCCAGAAGTGACCTGTCTGAATCCCTCTAGGACTTTTCAACCTCTCATGGGGGACGAGTTGTGCCTCCTGACGTAACCGTGTGTCAGCACTGCCACTGTCCGCGTCAGGAGTGCCTGAGGTCTGTCCGGCTCGGTGTGCCGTGTCACCGATCTGTTCTCACCTCCAGTTTCCCTAGCAGCCCTGTAGGTACAGAGGAGGAAGTCAGGCATGGAGAGACAGTAGGTGCCTTGACACCTGAAGCCACACAGCTGGTGGGTGGTGACCTCGGAACCAAACCTTGGCACTGTGGGCTCTTTCCGCAGTTGGGGTGGAAGCAAAAGGGGGAGAGAGGTTTTAGAAATCTCTCTCCCCCACAGCAACCGGGATGAACTTTCTTGTGTAAGTAATTCTCTGCAGTTACTAGATGGGGAACAGAATTTTTATTTCTACAGGAGCCCTTCTCTGGAAGATTGAGCAGAAATCTAACCGAGCTTTTGCTTGTGGAAAAGTGACCATCAAGGGGAAGCGGCACTGGTACGAAGCCCTGCCCCAGGCAGTGTTTGTGGCCCTGAGCGATGACACAGCCTGGATCATCAGGACAAATGGAGATCTGTACCTGCAGACAGGTAACTGGGGCGGTCCTCCAGCTCCTGTGGGGGGAGGGGTAATTGCTTCCTGCTGCCCCTCACTTTGTTAGGGACACACTTAGAGCCATCACAATGACGGAGGGGCTAAAAATCAATTTAAGACAGTCTGCCTTTGGAATATATTAGCAGTTTCCTGCTACTGACTCACATCCAACCTGGACAAGTTTAGGGCAAGACTTAATAGGGTTATTCAGTGAGATACAGAAACAGATTCTTACTCTCCTTATGGCTAACCATTGCCTATCACTTGTGCTGCAATGTCAGATCTTAAGGGGAAAGAATAATGGGGAAGTGACATTAGAATCATTTTTTCTTTTAGGTTATGGCTGGACTTTTTTCAGCCAGGTTATAGCCCTGTCCCCGTATACTTATTTACATGTGGGTCAGGAAGAAACGAGAAAAATCATTTGATCTAAGTAGCAGTTCAGTTCGCCCTAATAAACTGCCCTGTGGGGAACCTTCAGCTGCCGGAGGAGACTCAGTGGGACTTGTTTATTAAAAATAAACTGTAATGAGTGTGAGTGTTTATGTCCGCAAAATAGGATATGACTTTCCAAAGACGACGTGATTTCTCGGCATATGGAAAGGCTGTGGGGTGGGAGCTCTTTTCTGGCTGTCAGGAGGTCGTATTGGATTTACGTAAAGATCAATCTTCTAACCATCTAATATTGCTGATTTGTGGAGACTGTTTTAATCTTTGTTACTAGCTGTCAGCCAGGGGTGGTGCTCTGAGACCAAAAGTCTCCGCACCCCTGGTTCTTCCTCACACGTGGGAGGGCCAGCATCTCCTAGAAGCCTCTGCTTGAGCCCTGGTGGTCAGCCTCGCCAGCTCCTGGGCCATGTGCGAGTTCTGGTCTCTCCCTTCAAGTGGTGATAGCTCTGGAAAGGCAGATGCATATCCCATTTCCAGGGGCACTTGCGTTTTGTTCCTGGTGAGGAGACAGAGTGCTTCTGGCCTGGGGTTGAGGAACCTGTTAACCAGTAGTACCAGACCGGCCGTGTTCGGCTCCAGGGCTGGCCTGACAGTGTGTAGCGTAAGCAGCCCAGCAGGTGACTCCCCCTGGTTGAGGGTGAGGGAGACAGCTGAGAACGTGGGACCACGGGGCTTCTGCAAGTAGTCGGGGAGCACGCTGGGGCACTGAGAACTGAGTGCAGGCTGATGCCGCAGAGTATGGGATTTGAGTTAGCAGCTGTCCCGGCAGCTCCGGGCTCCAGACAGGCTCCAAAGAGGTGGGGGGAAGGAGTCCTGGATGGGGCGTCAGCAACTCTGAGCTCTGGCCCTGCCATAGCCTTGCTGGGTGAGGGGCGTCGCCTTTCATGTAGGGAACCACCCCCCCCAACCAGGTCAGAGGAGGAGAGGGCGGCTGCTTCGTCGGAGCTGCTCTGCAGAGGGCAGGGGGCTCAGATCCTTGCCATCCACGGCTGCCACAGCTCTGCTCGCCCCAAGGCTCTGAGGGCACAGCCACAGAGCATGTGTTGCTCTAGGCCTGGCTGCTCTTGGCTCAGGGCCTGGCTGCTCTGCCCTGGGCTTTCTTGTTCTTCTGGGACATCTTAAGCGACTTTGGGATACCCGCAGATTCTGAATTGTCGTTCCTTCAGTTTTCAGAGAGCATTTGAAAACACTTCAAATACATGCCTTATTTAAGCACAACCTATTTTTTGTTGACTAGACCTTAAAAAGACAGAATGCGTTCTACACAAGAATATAGCAGAATACCAAAAAGAGAAAAAGCAGCAAACCGCAGAATACAAATGAGGTGCGAAGTCCTGACTGTGTGTCTTGGGGGCTTCCTGTCTCCCTGGCAGGTCTCAGTGTGGATCGCCCTTGTGCCAGAGCCGTAAAGGTCGACTGTCCATATCCACTGTCCCAGGTCGCAGCCCGAAACAGCGTGGTGTGGGCACTGACAGAGCAGCGAGCCCTCCTGTACCGGGAGGGCGTGAGCAGCTTCTGCCCCGAAGGGGAGCAGTGGAAATGTGACATCGTCAGGTATCGGCGGGAGCAGGCGCGTCCTTCCCATCTTGCTTGACCCACCCTTGGTTCTTTGTCACCTTGACTCCCCTTAACGCGCCCCTGGAGGCTGCCCCCGGCAGAGCTGCTTCTCTGAAGCTCTCCATGGGGATAGTGTTGTCTGGAGTCGGCGGAGCCAGTGACCGCGGCCTGACCACGGGTTGCCCTGTGCCTGCCTCTGACCAGCAGACTGGGCGCTGGGTCAGGGCAAAGCTTTTTGAAATGCTGCCACCCTCTCGTGTGACCTCGGGCATCACACGATCACGGGTCTCACGACAGTTTCTATTCAGCACTGCCTGGCACTGTCGGGTGGTTTCTGTGTAGAAGCTCAGTGGTTTCAGGCCAGATGTTTTTCCTTCATAATCATTAGTGGTAATTGATCTCTAGTCATTTATTTGGTGACTTACACCACTCAAAATTTTAATTATAGAATTACCATCAAATCATTTTGCTAATTAGAAAAATTAGACTAGGATCTTCTTGGTTTGAACCTAGCACCCAGTCAGCATGAGTGAGTGGCTACCGTGAGCCACAGCGGGGCTGGGCTGGGTGTGCGACCAGGCTGGCCCCAGCGCCGCTCTCCCACAGTGCCGGTTAGCGTGGACCGTCCCCTGCCAGGGCAGAGCTGAGCAGGGGCTTTACCAGAGGAGCAGAAGGGGGAAGGGCACTGTGTGCGGAGAGGCAGCGTCTACCCAGCTGCTGCTGCCCGACACAGCCCGGCACACGGGGGTACCTCCACTGGCTCGATTGTGTGGGGGGAGCAGGGAGGCCAAGGTGCCCTGGGTGCCCACGCGCTCTCTCGTAGGCTCTTTCCTCCCAGGGGTTTCCCGCCATGCCAGCTTTTCAGTATGTCTTTCAGAAGCTGCCACACATTTAAACAACAACCTAACTTGAAACTTGAGCTTCCTTCCAGGGAACTTGGGGGTGGGGTCTAAACCCACCCGGGAGACACTTGAAGCCGGCGTTCCTAGCCAGCCTGGGCACTTGGAGTGTGGGCGCTGACTCTCCCTTCTCTTCCCTGTTTCCAGTGAAAGGCAGGCTTTGGAACCCGTCTGTATAACTCTCGGGGACCAGCAGACTCTGTGGGCCCTGGACATCCGAGGGAACCTCTGGTTCCGAACTGGTATCGTTTCCAAGAAGCCCCAGGGAGATGACGACCATTGGTGGCAAGTAGGTGCTCGGCTCTGGGGGTGCTGGCCAGGATGTCTCTGCTCTGCTCCGCCTTTTACAGCCCTTCTTCTCCTTGAAGAGATTGGGGAAGTTGGATTAAATGAACAACATTTGCTTTCACTCTTCAATGAGTTAGTCTTCGCTCTATTTGAGCGCGTTAGAAATATCCGGGCTTTTCATTGTAGGAAGTAACTTGTAGAACTCTCTTTGCTTAAATGTACAGGCTCTGTTTATTACTTCTTTTTCTGTTCTGGTATTATTTAGAAGTTTATCCTTACGTGCTAAATAAGCCCAGTGATACCCTTTTGAAGACCTGGGTAGTAATGATGTTGAATTCTGAACTCATGGGCTGAGAAGAGCTAGACCGCGGGTTTGGAAACCCGGCCTATAATTTAAATTCATCTCTGCCCGCTGGTTCCAAAGTCCTCTAAGCAAGTGGCATTTCAACAAAGAAAGGAGAATGTTCCCACACGCTCCCAGAAAAGGAAACACTCTGTGTAATAGGAGGGTGTAAGCAAGCTCACTTCTCATGACTTGGTCCCAGCCAGGGTGGCCTAGAATGTGTTTTTCAAGGAATTGTTCCTGCCCCTCTTTGGTACTGTTCAGTGTAGCTGTCACTCCCCCAGCTTCCCGCAGCGGCCGGAGAGGTGGTTCTGGCCCTCAGCTGCTGGAAACGAGGCAGCGTCTCTGCAGTGTTTGTCTCCAGTGGCTCAGGTCCCGTTGCTGCCTCAGACTTGCCACGCGAGGGCAGGTCGGTCATTAACTGCCCTTGGTCTGTCGGATGAGAATGTGGAAAAGAAGTTGTATTTGTCCTTTGATGAGTAAGTATATGTGTACAAAGGTTTCTGATATGTCTGGTACTCTGAAAAGTTGTACAAGTGATTTTCAAATACCTTCTCCATGCTGGTAAGCATACTTGGTTTTACACACGCATGCGTGTACACACACACACTCTCTCTCAAATGTGTATATGTACCACGTTCCATTTTTAAGTAGCCTAAAGAAAGTTGGATACCATTTTATCATCATATTCAGAATGTTATCTTTAGAGAAATTTGACAGAATCATCTTTGAGGTATTTGGAAGCAGAGTTATTTTAATTACTCTAAGACTGATTTCTTTGTAGCACCAGAGCCAGCTTTATGTCTGGCTGGTTTGGCTGCTAAACCTTTCTTTTTTTAAAAATTTGCATCCTGCTTATCTGCAAGTGTTGGGCACGGAGATGGCCTGTCACAGGCTTTCTGTGTGGCCTTGGCGTGTGAACCCTCCGAGGAGACCCAGCAGCACATGTGGTGAGCCCCAGGGCTCCATGCCCGGTGTTCTGTGGGCTGGGACAAGACCACGCAGCCAGGCTGTTGGATAGTAGGAAAGGGGGCCACGGGGTCCAGACATGGTAAAGCAATTTACTGCAATCTCAGTTAGGACAGTGCGGGTCCTTTCTTGGGTGAAAAAGTGCAGATTTGTACACTTAAGCACTGATTTTTATAGTAATTTACTTTTTGTTTTTGCTTATTAGAATTAAGTTCCCTGTAATAAGTGATGTCCCTTTCACTCAGCATTTCGTTGTGCGGGACCTGGGAACACAGCCTGTGTAAGGGTGTCCTAGGAGTTAGGGAGCAACATTCTCTGTGACCAAACCCAGCAGGGCACAGGTACACATGAAAGTCACATGGAGGCAGATTTTGACCAACTTAGAACTTCTGACGACTAGAGCTGCCAACAAGAGAGAGATTCTCAGGCCACCTGAGGGGCTCAGCATTAAGTGTCTGCCTTTGGCTCAGGTCATGATCCTGGGGTCCTGGGATTGAGCCCGTTGTCGGGCTCCTTGCTCGGCGGGAAGCCTGCTTCTCCCTCTCCCTCTCCCCCTGCTTGTGTTCCCTCTCTCGCTGTGTCTCTGTCAAATGAATATACAAAATCTTTAAGAGAGAGAGAGAAAGAGAGAGGTTTTCCTCAGAGTTGCCCCAAAGAAATGTCTTTCAGGAATGTTAGAGGAGCGGTTTGCACACCGGAGCCAGGCTGTGCCAGTCGTGTCCAGGGCGGGGCCTGGTTTGCGCTATTGAACTGACATATTTATCGACAGTCCTGGTCTAGATCATCAAGTACCTCCACCACCCTACTTATAGTACCTTTTTTAACCCATATTACGATTCTAAGGATTGCACTCTGTTGTCCATTGGAAATATCTAAATTTAAAAGCAAAATGACCCTGGGACGCCTGGGTGGCTCAGTTGGTTAAGCCGCTGCCTTCGGCACAGGTCATGATCCCAGGGTCCTGGGATCGAGTTCCGCATTGGGCTCCTTGCTCAGTGGGGAGCCTGCTTCTCTCTCTGCTTCTGCCTGCCGCTCTGCCTGCTTGTGTTCTCCCACGCGCTCTCTCTCTGACAAATAAATAAATAAAATCTTTAATAAAATAAAATAAAATAAATCAAAGCGAAATGACCCTTTCTTATTGATTAGAATAAAGGGCTTCATGGGTCTAAGGGGGGATCATAAATAATCACAAAAATAATACCTGTTGTTGTGACAGACCCACGGTGGATAAAAATGTATAAAACAGAAGGTGAACAATTTCTTCTGTCCCTATAAATCTGACCCTCAGAATTACAATTAGTGGTTTGATAGTGTCTTGCTGGACTTTTTTTGGTCTTACACAAATGCGTGCTTGCCCACGTGTGCTAGGTATTTGCCAGTTACGGGCCGGGCCCAGTCTTAGCTCCGGGTGGCGCGCATACAGAAGGCACTCATAGGGGTGCCTGGATGGCTTAGTGGGTTAAGCCTCTGCCTTCGGCTCAGGTCATGATCTCAGGGTCCTGGGATCGAGCCCCGCATCGGGTTGTCTGCTCAGCGGGGAGCCTGCTTCCTCCTCTCTCTCTGCCTGCCCCTCTGCCTACTTGTGATCTCTCTGTCAAATAAATAAAAAGAAAAGTCTTAAAAAAAAAAAAAGAAGAAGAAGAAGGCACTCATAGCCGCACTGAGAGAAGGGTATCTTTCCGTGCCCCCCTCTAGGTGAGCATCACCGACTACGTGGTATTCGACCAGTGCAGCTTATTCCAGACCATAATCCATGCCACGCACTCCGTGGCCACGGCAGCCCAAGTGCCCGTGGAGAAGGTGGCGGATAAGCTGCGCATGGCGTTTTGGTCTCAGCAGCTGCAGTGCCAGCCAAGCCTCCTCGGGGTCCACAACAGCGGCGTCTGGATCTCCTCGGGCAAGAATGAGTTCCATGTCGCTAAAGGAAATCTCATCGGTGGGTGAATCACTTTTCTTTTTGCATTGACTCAATCAGCAGCTTCATTTTAAAGCCAGCACCGAAAGAAGAGCTTTAAGACTCAACTGCAGAAGAGAATTTGGTGCCAGTGTATCAAGTGTTTGTCACGGAGGCATTCTGCACTCTTTGTGTCAGTTTCCTTTTTTTACTCTGTCATTCCAACAACTTGGGTACCAGTGTTTGGATGGTGTGTGATCAGTGACAAGACAGGAGGGGCAGATGGAGCTCTTTTTTATGTTCATAATTTCACCTTTAAGTGAAAAGACCCACCCAAGCGTAGAGGATGTCGTAAGAGGGAATAGTCCATTTCCTGGAGGGAAAGTTCTTGCTCTGTGGAGAATGCCAGTCTCTGTCAAGATCTGTGACCGGTGGTATAATCCGCATGTTCCCATGAGGGCTTCATTTCTGTGAGGGAAGCCCTGCTTTGTGAATTTCTCCAGCTCTCTCCTCCCTCTGCATGACCAACCGCCCCCCGCCAACCCCAGCCACAACCCTGGGCAAGACTGTGGCTCTGCTTGTCCACGTAGGAGGACGAACGAGGGACTGGGCTCACAGCCCCGACTGGCATGGACCTCTTAATTTAAGGACATTCTAGAATTAGCTGTAAGAGGTTTTGAAGACCAGTTGTAGTCTAGAACTAAAGCTCTGGAATGTGTGTGTGTTCTCTTCTTCTTCCTTCTTTAACACACTTCCTGTTGGTTCCTTCTAGGCACTTACTGGAATAATGTTGTTCCCCGTGGGACAGCTTCTGCAACGAAGTGGGCCTTTGTGCTGGCTTCCACTGCTCCCTCAAAGGAAGGTTGGTTGAGAAATACAGTGCATGGGTTGGCAGTTGAAAAGTGAAAACCATGGTCTGACCATGACCCAGTTGAGGTGGGGCATAGCCATGTGGACCTCAGAGACAATGCAGTGGCTTCCCAGATAAGCAGCCCTTGTTGGCTGAGCCAAGGCCCACGAAGCTGGGTAGGCCTGAGCAGGAGAGAAGGCTCTGGTGTGGGGACATTGAATGAATCTAAAAGCAGGGCATCATTCCGAAGGAGAGGAACATTCAGTGTCCCACTAGGGCCAGCCCCCGGAGACTTCCAGTGACGTGTCACACGTCCACAGCACTGCAGCCAGTGGACACCAGCCTTCATGGGGTGCCTTCCCATTTCCCCTTATGAGGTCTTCTGTCACCTCCCCGCAGCCTCTTTCAATCTGGTTTACAGCTTCTGACTAGTCTAAGTCCCACAGTTGTGCCCTGTTAGTACAGGGGCAGACCTCCTGGTGACCAGTTGGAGCTCCCCTCCCCTTCCGGAACATGGGGATTGGAGCCAGGAGAGGCAGTGCTGCAGCCAGCGAGCCGGGATCCTGGGCAGTCAGGTGACCCCTCTGCAAAGTGACCAGAGGCCCCACCTAGGATCACCCTGAGGGTCGAATGGGAAGACGCCATGAAGCCTGTGGTTCAGAGGAGGCAGCTGGTTAGTTTGAGCGATTAGTCCCACCAAGTTTGGCCCACTTGTCCGTACAGGAAAAGGTTTTCTGACCAGAATTCTGAAATCTGTAAGCTCTGAAAACTGTAGGTTATATCCGGAGATTGGCACAAAATCCTTTGGCAGCAAAACCTGGCCCGAACCGCTGTGGGGCCACTTGCTGACCCATCGATCACGAACACACACATTTTGTGGCTGGGACGTGACTGCATTTTGTTGCTGCTTGGCTTCCTGAGGCTATTGTTAGATATGCGGCATACCCGTGACCTTATGTTTTCAAAATCCTCAGAAGTTGTGAATTCTAAAACCTATCTGGCCACAAGTTTTAGATGATCTATATTATGATGGAAACTTGAAGTTTCCCAGAGACTATCTGCATTTTAAACTCATTCTGTTAAGTCTAAGGGACTGTATAAAAATGGTGGAGAGGAGGCGAGGGTGGGTTTTGAGAAGAAGTTGGGGAGAGAATGCTTTCCAGCTTTCCCAGCCTCCCCAGCAGACTCCCCCCGATCTGCCCACCCACACCGCCCCCGCCAAGACCAGAACAGGGGAACTGTGGATCCATCCTTCTGAGGAATTGCTGACCTCACTCCCTCCAGAGCCCTAGTCACACTGAGTCAGACTCCCCAGCCCTTATGAAACGTCCAGGGTGAGAGCTGCTGAGCCAACATTGTAGCCTTCACCAAATCTCCTGAGCCCTGCTTTCTTTCCTCCCTTTAGAACATCTCAGGCTTCTGTGTTAACTGGCTGGCCATGGGGTGCGCCTCCAACTTCTGACTTCAGGTCCGTCGAGCACGCGTGCACAGTGGCGGCCTGGGAGCCAGGAGCAGTGGCATCAGCCGCCCAAAGGCCAGGGCTCCCTGGTGCATCTTGTCAGTGACGAACCCGAACCTTTTCCGCAGGAAGCTCCTTGTGGCTGTGCCAGAGCAGCAAGGATCTGTGCAGCGTCAGCGCCCAGGATGCACAGTCCCGCCCCTCCACGGTGCAGCTGCCTCCCGATGCAGAGATGAGGGCGTACGCCGCCTGCCAGGACGCTCTGTGGGCCCTGGACAGCCTCGGGCAGGTGTTCATCAGGACGCTGTCCAAGAGCTGCCCCACGGGCATGCACTGGACGCGGCTGGACCTCTCCCAGCTAGGTACGGCCCCCGCGTTCGGCTCGCGTGCGTTCTTACGGGACGCTGTGTGGGTTGCTGGATTTCAGGACGTGGATGGGCCACTCTGGCAGGTTAAGCGGGCTGCTTCTTTGTGTCAGGAGCCGTGCTTCCCCACCGTGTCAGCTTGGAGGGCGTGCAGAGCCCCGGAGGAGTGCAGGCTCAGAGGAAGCTGCCTCTAGAACGGCCTGAGGCGCTGCCTCTGCCAGTCCAACTCAGTGTGGCGTATCGCTCTGTGCCCTCTGAGCCTGGACGGACAGGCGTGTCCTGCGTCAGCCTCAGCAGCCCTTCTCCTAGCCCTCTGCAGCTAGAACCCTGCTCAGCGAGCGTCCATTCTCACTCGAGCGGCCCAAGGGGCTGCTGTGCGTCTCTGGGTGGCAGCTCTTCCCGGAGCCTCCCGTCAAAGGCTACAGAGCCACCCGAGGGGCGTGACCCATGCACCAATCATTCATTGGTAGTGCAGGAAGCCAGATAGTAGAGGCAGCCCATGGCTTTAGGTTATGCTGCAGGCAGGTTCTTGATCGAGGGCAGCTTAAGTGTGGCTAGTCTGATAGCAGAGACTTGTCTGAAGGCAGAGGCTGCTCCTGGCAACTCCAGAAGGTCCATATAAGCCTTAGGAACACTCCCCTGCCACACAGCGTCCCATCTTGGTAAATGGACAACCCGTATTTTTTGTGTGGTTGGTGGTAAAGTTGAATTGTATGAGCATTTAGTATTTGAGAATTCAACCCCATGTACTCATTAGAAGGGGGAGAGGCACCTGGCTGGCTCAATCGATAGTGCACGTGACTGTTAATCTCTGACTCGTAAGTTTGAGCCCCACATTGGGCTTGGGGTTTACTTCAAATTTGTACTTACATAGGGGCGCCTTAAGTGTCTGCCTTTGGCCAGGTCCTGATCTCACGGTTCTGGGATCAGCCCTGTATCGGGCTCCCTGCTCAGTGGGGAGTCAGCTGCTCCCTCTTCCTCTGTCCCTCCCAGCCCCATTTGTACTCTTTCTCACACACGTGCTCTCTCTCTTTCAAATAAATAACTAAATGAGTAAACTTAAAAAAAAAATACACACACACATACGCACGTGTGCATGTGCCTCTCCAGCAGCCCCTGGCTGCGTCTCCGGCTGCCAGGGGCCTCTCCCCATCCCATGGAGCAGGCCGGGCTCTGCTGCTGTCAGCTCGTGTGGCTCCTGTAAGGCACCGTGTAGGAGGATCGTCGTTCTTTTGTCTGGCAAGGCCCTGGTAGAATCCAGCTTAAATAGGGATGCTGGCACTCGGCTGAAGAAGCAAGTTGTCCCGAGCTGGGGCTAGTCTAGGGTCGTGCCAGTTCAGCAGCACATACACTGAAAATAGGAACTTCCTGGGGACATTTTGATGACTTGTGCTTTTGACCTCATCCCTTGTCCTTTGAGCCTAATCCCAGCCCTGGGGCCATCACTTTCCAGCTTTTGAGGATTTACCAGCCACCATTACTGACAGTGACGGACCGGACGAAGCTGTGGCTGCTCATGGCCCTGAGTGCAGTGATGGGGGACCCTCCTGCCTGCCCCGGGAAGCCTTGCCACCATCCAGAGATCTGCTGGCCGGGGCCTTTCTCTCGCAGCCCCAACCAGACCCGTTTGGAAGATGTTGCCTGTTCCTTCTGTGGGTCTGAAGGCCAGGGCACATGTGCTCTCCCACCACTGAATCTTGAGGCATGTGGGAGGCCTTGCTCTTCTGCACAATCTGGGTGAGAGGTACAGCTGTTTCCCTGCAGCGTCCCTTCCCCGTGTGTCAGAGGACATCATGTGCTACAGTGGTACAGAGTGGATGGCATCCTGACAGGCCACGCGGAGCAGGAACCAGCTCTGCCTGGGCCTGCAGACACTGGGCCCACAGCTCACGGCTCCCTTCTGGATCAGTCCGGTCCTCCCAGCACTGGCTGCCTCGATTCCTGCAGGTCTCTGAGGTGCGCATTTGGGCTTCACTGGGCTGGCGGCCATTCTTTCGAGGGGAGAAACTCCGCTTTGGTGGGACGAAGCCTCCGTATAAGAGACCTGATCCTGAGCAGGCTCCAGGATCCTGGGCGAGCTGCTAGCTTCCCTTATTTAAACCTCAACTTCTCACCTTCCTGATGGGAGTAGCAGTCCCCACCACAGAGAGACGATGCAAAGAAGCATCCGGGGTCAACATGAGCTGCTTGGGCAGGTATCCCACGTGGGGTCCCTGTCAGGCCCACATAAGCTGCATCGCTCCCCAAGCCGGCGGGGGCCGACTAACCACGCGCCTGGTGGGGTGATGGTGGGAAGCACAGTAGTAAATTGTTTATTTGTCTGGGTTGCTAGCAGACACTGAAATGATGGAGAAAGAATCCTTTCACCGTTTTCTAAACGTAGGAGAATGCACCATGTCCTGAGTTGGTGGGGTTCTTGTCAGGCAGAGGAGGTGGACGGGGTGAGGTGGGAAAGTGCCAGCCTCCCACTGTGCCAGGGTTGGGGGCAGGAAAAGGCAGGCGAGGACCTCTGGGTGTTGTGTTGCTGGGCGCTCTCCAAGGATGGTCTTTGTAGCCTGTGGGACAAACCAATGAATCCAGTGGTTTAGTAAATTATTATTTAAATGAGGGGATGAAGATTTTAAGTTCAGCTGTGTGCTCACCGCCTGGACCCCCACGTGGGAGCGCCCTTGGGGGGCTGGCATAAGGCAGCAGGCATGGAACAGTGAGTAGAGAGTGTAGTGACGGAGGTAGCGTTCATGCTGCCATGCGTTCCTGATCTGGGGTTAACTGGGATGCTTCGTTGTTTTTTAGAAATTGGCCGTGGGGGTGCTCACGGCACAGAAAGGAAGCGCGGCCTTTCAGGGCTATGACTGCCAGTGAGGGTTTGTTCAATAAGAGACTTCTCTTTCCCAGATGTCCTCTTCCTGATTTCACCCTTCTCCCACCAAATTCTTCCGGAAAGGGTAGAATCCCCGGTGGCTCTTTGAGGCCGGTGCCTCAGTGGTGTGTCTTCCATCTGCCCCAGGGGGTCTCTGAGGCTCTTATCCTTGCTCCCCTCTCACCACGGCCATCGTGTGCCCCTCCTCCCCGCCACGGTTGCCAGAGCTGTCTTCCTAAGACAGCTGGGGGGGCAAACCCTCAGCACCAGAGAGCGCCATGGTGCGCCCGCTTCGGGGAGGCCCCCGAGGCCATCACAGCCTGGCCCAGTCGTCTTTGCCGGGCCCTGAGCTACGGGACCACCAGCCCCCAGCCTTGGCTCGTCCCTGAATGCCACGCCCCCTTGTGCACGGTGCACGCTGGTTTTGCCATGGCCTAGAGTGTTCTCCCCTCTCTGTCCTTCCCCCAGCTCTTCTTCCTTCAGGCCTCTGCGGAGACTGTCCCCGCCCCATCCCGGCTTCCTTCAGTCCGAGTCTCCTCAGGGCCCTTGCCCCCCACATGCCGAGTGCCCTGCTCCTACTCTGTGACAGACTTTTCAGCCTTCTCAGGCTGACCCATGCGGTGACTGCACACACGGGGCGGTGGGGGGGTCCACGTCCATGCCCAGAGGGAAAGTAGACCATCAGGGAAAGTGGTTATTACTGGTAGCTCCTATTTCTAAGTAATTCTGGGACATGAGGGGTTTTGGTTTTGGTTTGGTTTTGGTTTGTTTGTTTTAAGGATTTTATTTGTCAGAGAGAGAGAGAGAGAGAGAGAGAGCTCAAGCAGGGGGAGCAGCAGGCAGAAGGAGAAGCAGTCTCCCCCCGACCAAGGAGCCCGACATGGGATTCAATCCCAGGACCCTGGTATCATGACCTGAGCCAAGGTCAGCCACGTAACCGACTGAGCCATGCAGGCCCCCCTGGGATATGGGTTTTGATCCTGTCTTTGGCCTTGATACTGATAATCACTAATAAAACTGCCTAACAGGCAGGTACAGGAGCGATAATTGGTTAGTCCACCTCTAAGCTGCCACCATCTGGTTCAGGGATGTGATTTCTCTGTGCTGTTCTCTGCAGTCCTGGCCTCCTCTTCACAAGCATCCCGACCTCACTGACATGAAACATGAAAGCCCGTCTTCCTGGTGCTGACAGTGGGGTGGGGGGGTGCGGCCCACCTCATGCCGGCCATGCCAGGTGCTTGTAAAGTCTGGAATGTCACCAGCTTTTACATTGCAAGCAGAAATTTCAGTTTTAGAGCGTCTGGGCGGCTCAGTCAGTTAAGCTCAGGTTGTGATCTCCAGGTCCTGGGATCCAGCCCCGCATCGGGCTCCCTGCAGGGAGTGTGCTTCTACCTCTCCCTCTGCCCCTCCCCACCACTCATTCTCTCTCTCAAATAAATAAATAAAATATTTTAAAAAGAAAGAAAAGAAATTTCAGTTTCAGGGATGACTTTTGCAAAGTATCAAGTTATGAATGTGATTTCTATCTTTCATTTCCTGTTTAAGACCTAACATCGCTCTTTTCTGCCCCTATTCAAATTAGCAAGTCAGTTGCTGCTTTGAGATTAAATTAAGAGAATTCTTAAATGTCTGGCTACTAAACCCAGCTTTAGAGATTGAATATAGAATTTTGTGATCTATTGCAGTCCTAGTTTTTGAAGAAAATTTGCATCATTTAGCAGGTATTTAAGATGCTGATAACATTTCATTTCCCAGTATACATAAATATGCATTCCGTCAGATGTTGGAACGTTTAGCAAACTAATGCAATTTGTAATTTAATTTATCTGGTCACAGCATTTAATGAGGAAATATTTAGTGTCAGTTTTTGCCTTCAGGTAACAAATAGAATTATATTAGGCAGTAATTTATGCAGAAAAGTGTTTTATAAATAGTAAAACACCAAATAAATGTTATTTGTTGTCCAAAAATATATGTTGAAAAGTAATCCTAAAGGGAAAATGTCTCCTCTGTTGAATAAAGTAACTAAAACTTTTTTTTTTTTAATAGAAAAAACATCAGGGAAAGGCAAGAAAATTGTAGTGTGTCCGTGTTCATCAGGCTGGTAGCATAATAACGGTCCGGAAATATCAGCAACTTAATATAATGTTGCTTCCCTGCTGCCACGAACTTGGTTCTGACCTTTGGCTGCAGTCTCCTAGGACTGTGTCCCTTGGGTGGCAGCTTGCTGGTCTTGTGGCAGAGCTCCGTGGCTTCCCTGTGCTGGTCACCACAGCAGGGACAGCTGACAGCCCCCTTGCCAGCTCCCTTATGCCTCAGTTCACAAGTGGCAGGCAGATCGCTTCTGCCCACAGCCATCGTCCAGACTGGAGACGGGGCCCACCTAACTCGCAGGGACCGCAGGACGGCGTGGAGCATTTGGGGAGGGCAGGAGTCTCTGGCCCTGTCCTGACCATCACGGCAGAGCAGTGTCAGGAGCCTCTGTGTTCAGGCGGCCCGGGGGCCCTCTGTGAGCTGGAAACTGCCGTCTGCAGTTACCCGTGTTCTTCTTTGATCTGTCTCTTCAGTTCTGAATAAGTTGTCTGTCCTGACATGTATGTTCCTTCATCTTGACTTTTGTCCTGAAAGGGTATTTCTGTAATGCGAACGCGTATTCTGGTGGTGGTGGTGTCAGTCACTGCTGACGGGGCTGTGGGCCCCGGGTGTCTTTGTCACCACGTAGCTGTTCTCACCGTCCACTCTAGTAGGGCAGATTGAAGACTCCAGTATAAAATTAATTTTCATTAAACATTTTAAAATCAGTATTTCTCAGCTATTTCTGTAATTTGCTGCTGAAGTTACTGTATTTTGAGGTACCCGTCTTTCACTGTGGAATGTCAGAGCTTTCGGAAGTCTTTTGAACTCCCTGCTAAGATATTCTGTAATAGAGTAAGGAAGGAAAAACCACAGTCAGCTTCTGTGTGTGCACAAAGGAATACCGAGAATGGTTTGTGTCTTTGTGGTCAGTTAATGCTTTCCAGCTGGTGTCCTAACTGAAGGCACCTGGCGAGATCACGTAGCAGGATCCGTGCCTGGGCTTCAGGGCAGATCCGTGGGCTGCTGTCCACTCCCAGTGACAACTGGCCGACAGGAGCATGGCCATGGGACATAGCTGTGCCACCCTCTCCCCCGCTTTAAAATCAGAATGGCCCATCCCAATTACAAACTCAGCAAAAAACAGTCAAGAAAATGAAAAGGCAAGCCACGGACTGAGAGGAAAGAGGCACAAAGTGTATCTGACAAAAGGCTTGTGTCCAGAATATGCAAAGAAAGCCTCGAACTGAGTCATCAAAAGATAGACCATTCGATTTGAAAAATGGGAAAAAGACTTGATTAAGCACGTCACAAAAGAAGATAAGATAAACACGTTATGCCCCATAAGCACATTACAAGATTCTCAGCATCATTAGTTACCAGGGAAATGCAAGTTAAAACCATGACACGATACCTCCTCACACCTACTAGAATGGCTGACGTGGGAAGATGGCAAGACCAGGAGCTGGTGAGGGTGTGGGCAGCAGCACGCACAGCTAGTGGGCGTGCAGAATGGCATGTGTACACCGCCCCCCCGCCCCATGGCCCTGCACGTCCACTCCTAGGTACCACTCGAGCAAAACAACACACACTCACGAGTCTTGTACAGGAATGACTGTCGCAGGGAGCAGACACGGCACAGGTGTCCCTCACTGGGGGCTGGGTAGGGTGCAGCACTGGCGGGCCGTGGGGCGGTGCTCACGACACAAAGAAGCGGCGCTGGGGACGGATCCTGCACACGGTCCACGACTGACCGAAGCCACGAGAGTGCACCTGTGGTTGTCTCTGCGGACCTCTAGACCGGACTAACTAACCCCTGGTGATAGAAATCAGAAGGGTGGTGGGTGCCTCAGAGCCGAGGGGATTGACTAGGGGCCCCAAGGGAACTTTCCGGGGCGATGAAAGTGTTCTGTAACTTGACAGGACGTGTGTTCCCTGGGTCTGTCAAAACTGACTGGGCTGAACATCCGGTGTGCGCATTTGCTGGCGTCCCAGAGGCCACATGGCCGGTGTGGGGGAGTCGGGCTGGCCTGACTTCAGACCTTTGCCTCCTGGCTCAGCTGCGTCCTCACCCTGGGACCTTGGGCAGGTCTCTTCCTGTCTGAGTCCCGATGACGACCTTGTGTGTGACCTGAGATAATAGTCCCCACGCGTCACTGTGGCAGGGCTCCAGGTGAGGGTGAGGCCGCCCCTGGCCCCACAGCAGCCGCTGGGTCACCACCAGCTGTGCTTTTTGCCAGGCAGACTATTAATTAGGTGTAATTTCCCTTTAAAGCCTCTGCCCATTTCCTTTTCTCTTAAAACTGGTTTCAGGGGCGCCTGGGGGGCTCAGTGGGTTCAAGCCTCTGCCTTTGGCTCAGGTCATGCTCCCAAGGTCCTGGGATGGAGCCCTGCATCGGGCTCTCTGCTCAGCAGGGAGCCTGCTTCCTCCTCTCTCTCTCTTTCTGCCTGCCTCTCTGCCTACTTGTGATCTCTGTCAAATAAATAAAATCTTTAAAAAAAACCTGATTTCAGCCCCCAGGAGACGTGTGAACAGAAACATGGAGCTTCTAAGAGACTTAGCGACTTCGAGTGAATTCTCCCCGGGATGAGGGTTCCCGATAAAGAGGAGCGCCCTCCCCACAGATGCAGAATTTGCTGGTGGTCTGCGCAGACGTGTGGAAGCCACGGACGAGGCCCCCACCCCTGCTAAGCCTGCGCTGCCTAGCTCGGGGCGCAGTGCCCACAATGTCCTGACAGCTTCGCCCGTGAGGCAGGCGAGCCGCCACGTGGCGCCTGGCAGGTGGAGGGACAGCTGGAGGCCTCGCCGACCCCAGCTGGCAGGAGCCACGGCGGAGGCAGCTTCACCAGCTTCACCCTCTTTCTTTGAAGGATAAAATCAAAGTCCATAGGTTAAGTGAAGGATTCGTCATTTTACAAAAGTAGTTAGTGTGTGGCCTTTTCCTTTACTTGCCTACAGGAGCTGTAAAACTGACAAGCTTGGCGTGTGGCAATCAGCACATCTGGGCGTGTGACTCTAGGGGTGGCGTGTACTTCCGAGTGGGGACCCAGCCTCTCAACCCCAGTCTGATGCTTCCGGCCTGGATAATGATTGAGCCCCCGGTCCAGGTAAGCAAAACCGCGCTGACCGCAGGCTGCTCCTCCAGGAGACAGAGGCCGCCAGAACGCAGACCCTGGAGGCGGGGCCACACCCGCTTGTGTACGCAGGTGGGGGCAGAGGCAGGAGTCCCTGGAGGGACAGCCCCCCGCGGGTGCTCACTCATTGGCATCCCAGTTGTGGAACTGCAAACTGAACACCTCCTTAAAGGTGATCTAAGTCAGCACTTAAGAGACTTTTCCTCTCAAAATAAAAATATTTTAACTTTTTACAAAACCAAAATCGTTTTTTAAAGAAATAAAATTGGTACCTGGCTGGTTGAGTCAGTGGAGCGTAGGACTCTTGATCTTGGGGTCGTGAGTTCAAGCTCCATGCTGGGCATAGAGCTTACTTAAAAATAAATAAGTAAATAAAATAAAAAATAAAATTAAAATCAAACAGTACCCAAAAGTATAGCACAGAAATTAAGAGTCACTTAAAATCTTGTCATGGAGACTGTCTATTATTAGCATTTTGTGAGTGCCTTTCCTGGTTGGTTGAAATTCTGTTTCCCAACCCCTCTGCCCTGTCCCCTCCCCAACCCCTGCCATATTTCAGCTTACCATGTATCCTACATGTTTTTCTTCTTCTCTTGACTGTTCCTCCATTCATATTAGAAGCAGAAGCCTGATTTTAGGGCACTATTTAAATACTGTTTAGATCCTTTAAAGATCTAACGGGACTGGTTGCTATACTAGGTATATTTCTGTTAAAATTTATAATCAGGACCTTGTGATTTCATAAGAGTTATCTGCTCCAACTCCTGCTAGTCCCTACTTTGTGACTTGTTGGAAAAAACGAAGTTGCAGAGGTGCCTGGGTGGTTCAGTCCCTTAAGCATCTGCCTTCAGCGCAGGTGATCCCAGCATCCTGGGATCAAGTCCCTCATTGGGTTCCTTGCTTAGTGGGGAGCCTGCAAAAAACAAAAAACAAACAGAAAAAGAGTTCTAGTTCACCTTTTTCATATTGTATAAATCAGGGGGTTTTATTCACAGAGTTGAGCAATAGTGTCCAGTTCCAGAACTTGCTTATCACCCCAAAAGGAAAATCCATACTCATTCGTAGTTAGCTCCTTTTCTCCTGGAATCTCCAGTTCCCTCTAATCTCCCCTCTGTGGTTATGCCTTTGCCTGCTCCTGGATTTGCCTTTTCCCTACATAGAATCATACAGTATGTGGCCACCTTTGCTGTCTTTCTTTTAGTGTCATGGTGAGAAGTACCGTGGCATGTGGTAGCGTGTGTCAGTACTTTGTTCCTTTTATAACAGAATAATACTCCATCCGTGGAGGGACTTTGTGCTTACCCATTCGTCAGGTGATGGACATTTGGGTTGTGCCCACGTGTAGGCTGCTGTGAACATTCGTGGATCAGTATTTGTGTGGAGTTGTGTCTTCAGTTCTGTTGGGTAGAGACCTTTAAAGGTGATTGCAGGGTCAGATGGTGAATGTGTGTTTTAAATGTTTAAGGACTTGGGGTGGCTGGCCGGCTCAGCTGATGGGGCACGTGACTCTGGATCTCCGGGTTGTGGGTTTGAGCCCCAAGTTGAGTGTAGAGATTACTTAAAAATAAAATCAAACAAATAAATGAATGGTTTTCCGCAAAGACAGTGGTTGCATCATTTTATATCCCATCAGTAAAGTATGAGGGTTCTAGTTTCTCCACATCCTCACCAAAAACTTTACCTGCCCGATGCTTTTATTCTAGCCATGCTAATAGTTGTAAAAATGGTATCTCATATATTTCCCTAATGATTAATGATGTTGAAGATCTTTTCATGTGCTATTGGTCATTCCTGTATCTTCCTTGGAGAACAATACATTCAGATCCTTTGCTTATTTTTCAGCTGGACTAATTGTCTTTTAATTATTGAGTTTTAAGAGTTCTTGGGTGCCTGGGTGGCTCAGTGGGTTAAGCTTCTGCCTTCAACTCAGGTCATGATCTCAGAGCCCTGGGATCAAGCCCCGAATTGGGTTCTCACTCAGCGGGGAGCCTGCTACCCCCTCTCTCTCTCTGCCTGCCTACTTGTGATCTCTCTCTCTGTCAAATAAATAAATAAAATCTTTAAAAAAAAAAAAGTTTAAAAAACAAACAAAAAAAAGAGTTCTTTAGGTATTCTAGATACTAGACCCTTATCAGATATATGCTTTACATAAGACTTTGATGACATATGTACAACTGTTGCCTACTCCAAGGTCATGAAGATTTGCACCTGTGTTTTCTTTTAGACATCTTATATCTCTGGGGGCACCAGGTGGCTCAGTCATTAAGGGTCTGCTTTTCAGCTCAGGTCAGGATCTCAGGGTCCTGGAATCGAGCCCCACATTGGGCTCCCTGCTCAGCAGAAAGCCTGCTTCTGCCTCTCCCACTCCCCCTGCTTGTGTTCCCTCTCTCACTGTATCTCTCTATCAAATAAATAAGTAAAATCTTTAAAAAAAAAAAAAAGAAAAAAGTAGTCTTATATTTCCAGGCCTTATATTTATTTTTTTAAGGTTTTATTTATTTATTTGAGAAAGAGCACACAAGCAGGGGGGCAGGGAGAGTGGGAGAGGGAGAAACTGGGACTCGAACCCAGAACCCTGGGATCACGACCTGGGCTAAAGGCAGACGCTTAACTGACTGAGCCACCCAGGCGCTCTCTAGCCCTTATATTTAGGTATTTGATTTATTTTCGGTTAATTTTTGTATGTGGTATGAGATAGATGTCCAAATTCATTCTTTTACACATGGATATCCCATTATACCAGCACTGTTTATTGAAAAGACTTACTTTTACCCATTACATTCTCTTGGAGGTCTGTCAAAATCAATGCATCATAAATTTTTTTAATGCACCAAAAATTAAGGTTTTTCACTTTTGTTCCATTTCAGTGACCTGTATATCTATCATTATGCCAGTACCCACATTGTCCTGATTATTTAGCTTTGTTGTAAATTTCAAAATCAGGAAGTGATTTTCCTTTTTCAAGATTGTTTTGGCTACTCTGGGTCCTTTGCATATCCATATGAATTGTAGGATCAGTTTGTCAATTTCTTTTTTTTTTTAATCTATTTATTTATTTGACAGAGAGAGATCTATTTATTTATTTGACAAGTAGGCAGAGAGGCAGGCAGAGAGAGAGGGAAGCAGGCTCCCCACTTCCTGAGCAGAGAGCCCGATGTGGGGCTCGATCCCAGGACCCCGAGATCATGACCTGAGCCGAAGGCAGAGGCTTAACCCACTGAGCCACCCAAGCGCCCCCAGTTTGTCAATTACTGCAAAAAGAAGTGCCCGCTGGGATTTTTATAGGAATTGTGTGAATCTGTAGATCACTTGGGGGAAGTCTTGCCATCGTCATAGAATTAAATCTTTCAATCCATGAACATGAGCTTCTTTGCACTTACTCAGATCTTCTTTAATTTCCTCTAGCAGTTGTGTGGTTTTCAGAGTATGTGTTTTTTTTCCTACCTTTGTTAAATGTACTTCTGGGTCATTTATTCTTTTTGATGCTATTGTGAATGGAATTGTCTTTTCAGTTCCATTTTGGTTTGTTCATTGCTAGGTAAGTTTCTGTATATTGATCATGTATGTGGAAAACTGGGTAGACTTATTTCTTCTAATAATTTTCTTGTGGTTTGCTTAGGATTTCTTCTATACAAAATCATGTCATCTACAAATAGGGATAATTTTACTTCTTCCTTTTCTATCCGGATGTCTTTTAATTCTCTTTCTTGTTTACTTACCCTGGCTGGAGCCTCCTGTATGGTGTTGAGAAGTGGCGAGAGCTCATTTTGTTCCTGAACTTAGGAGGAAAACATCCTTTCTTTCACCATTAAATAATGATATTAGCTGTGCATTTTTTATAGATTCCCTTTAAAGACTGAAGAAGACCCCTTCTATTCCTAGTTTTGTTGAATGTTTTTTTTTTTCCACGAAAAAACGTTGGATTATGTCAAGTGCTTTTTCTGCATCTACTGAGATGATCATGTGGATTTTTTCCCTTTATTAATGTGAAGTATTGTAGGGATTGACTTGTATGCTGAACCACCTTTGGTTTCTGGGGTAAATCCTGCTTGGCTGTGCTGTGTAATCTTTTATATATACGGTGCCGGATTTGGTCTGCTGGTATTTTGTCACGGATTTCTGTGTCCACAAGAGAGATTGGTCTTTGGTTTTCTTTTCTTGTCATGTGTTAGTCTGGTTTTGCTCTCAGGGCGATGCTGGCCTCTTAGGATGAGTCGAGAAGTGTTTCTTCCTCCTGTTTTTTGGAAGAGTTTCTGAAAGATGGGTGTTAATTTTTCTTTAAGCATTTTTACAGTTCCTCAGTGTAAGCCTGGACTCTTCTTAGTGAGACGGGTATTGATTCCTGATTCAGTCTCCTTGCTTGTTCGGGTCCATTTAGAGTTTTCTGTTTCTTCTTGATTCTGTTTGAGTAGTTAGTCTTTCTGGCGATTTGTTCACTTCTTCGCCGTTACCTGACTTATCGGTACCCACATGTTCGTAGTATCCCCTGTACTCCTTTTTATTTCTGTGAGGTTGATAGTTATGCTCCCTCTCTCATTTCTGATTTTAGTGGTTTGAGCCTTCTCTCTTTTTTCCTTACTTAGTAGAGCTAAAAGTTGTCAATTTTATTGATCTTTTCAAAGAATGTCTTTTGGTTTTGTTGACTTTTCTCTGTTGTTTTTTCTATTCCTGAGTTCATCTGTTTCCACTGTAATCCTTGTTCTTCTACAGCTTGTTGTGCACAGTGTTCTGCTTGCTAGTGGTGTTCCTCTGAGATTTCCCAGCAGTATTTGTCACATTATCACATGCTATAGAAGACGTAGAGTGACCAGAAAGGTGTGCAGAATCCCAGCACCGGGCCACGCCAGCATTGGTGGAGGGCTGCTGAGGGCGAGAGTGAGATCTGCAGGGCATGTTGGGGGAGACCCAGCTGGTGGTTGCCGGGGGGCGAGGGGTGGTCAAACAGCGGGCTGCTACCAGTGGTGGGCTCTAGC